TGCCCACAGCCACTGCAAATGCGCTGACTAAGTGGAAGGCATGCATGTGAGAAAGTCAGGGTTGGGTGACTTGTGGCCTGCACACAACCCTTTCCCATCCATTGGTACTCAATTCAACTCTACTGAAAGACACTTTATGTAGGCCATGTAGTTATGCACGAAACAAATGGCTATTCTGCGAAGAGACCTGCCCAAATTTGCTAGATGAGTGGTGTTCAGGGGCAGGAAGCAGTCACATGATCACACCTTGCATGTGGCACTTGCACTTGGAGCTTGGCTGTGCATGTGTGAATGTGTGCTTGCAAAAAAATTGGCACAGGCCACCCTCCTGCCAGGGAAAATTTGCTTATCTGGCTGCAAATTTCCCAGTGATGGTCATCAGGGGGCTGATCTTTGCTAGCTCAGCTTTGAGTGTTTTGTTGAACTTCTTCCAGTCAACATCCCTGAAGTTGAAGGATGGGGGGGTTGATGATGGAGTGAGGGACATGTCTAGCAGTGTACATATTGGGAGATGGTCAGTGTTGGGACTGTGGTCCTCCAGGCTAGTGTCACACTTAATTAGGTCCACTAGCATTGATTCCATGCAAAAGATGCTGTCTGGATGCATACATTTCCCTGAAGAGGAGGACTGGACTTGGGCATTGCCTGGACCATACTGTAGTCTGCTACCAGCTCCAACAGCTTTTGTGCTGATGCGATTTCTGAGGCCATGAAGAGGTGACGGTTGTGTTCTTCATCCCACATCAGGTGATGTCTGTTATGCCCATGTCAGGGGTCTTTCCTTTTTCAACTTCTTGTGGTCATGTGCATCATGTGCCTTGTCACATCTCTCATAATCGTCACCATCCTAGGGGCTCATATGCTGCAAGGCTCCTTCAGATCTCCTGTTGTCAGGGTATTTCCAATACCTGTTGAGACCACACCTCCTGGTTGATGTGGTGTCCCACCACCCTTGCTGATGGATGACTTGTTTACTTCTTGTTCTGGTGACTTGTCTTTGACTCATTTATATTGCTCACATGTTGTACAACAGTTCCAGTGTCTGGCTCTTTGCTGCACATTGATTGCACAGCCAGTATAGCCTTTGTCCCCTTGTCTACCCCCATCATATGACACCATATGACTCTTTCTCATTTATGTATTTGTCTGATTGTCTTGTTGATCACTGCAGATACACATCATGATGCATCGCATCATGACTGGTATGGTACTCATACTTAGGGGTATATAAACTCACATACTTTACCTTGTATCCTCAGTTTTTCGGGATTTTCCAGGTGACAGGTGGAGGAGACTGTTCCTGTGCATTCTGCAAGTCTGCCAGAAAATCAGCCTGCATAGTAAAAGCTTGCAACTCAGCTAACTTCCTTCTCTTTTGCCCTCATTCCCTTCTCTGTGTGATCTCAAAAGAACTCACCAGAAGGAGCAAACCTCTGTCAGGCCTCAGAGATAACTGAGCCATAGGGGTTACAACATGTTCGGCCCATAGACTCCCCCTCATGCAGTTTGTGCCTATTCCATTTGAAGAAGTCACTGTGCTTGGGCATAACAAAATTGAATAACTCTATGCAGCTTTTGGGACTCGTCGACCTCTTCACAACAGTCTACTCATCCCTGGTTACTGAACTTCAACAACCCAATCCTCTCACATGCACAAGGCTCATTGGTCTCCCTCAGAGTAAAGACTAACTTGCTTTCCTCTGCTTCCTTGTGTACCAAGATTGAGAAGCACCCCTCTACCCTCAATCAAATCTACCACTCTACAGGCAGCCATCAGGCTTTAATAGATTGCCTCCCTAGAGTCAGTGCTTGTGTCTCCCCATGCATAAAGTCACTCACGCAAACCTATCTACCACACTGACAGGTGTCTTTCGAGAAATAAATCCTCCCTCAGCCTTTGTTGTCACTATTCATAAAAGTGTCTAACCTGCAGAAATCAAAGCCTCCAGTCCCTCCTCATCCTAATCCACTTGGGCTCAGAAGAAATCCTCCTCTACTGCCCATCCCACTATGAAGACTCAGTCCTTTGGTGACCACAACAAATCCCCAGTTATCTTATCTATCCCAGTTTAGGGACCTGCCTGGGAAAATTTGCTTGTCTGGTTGCAAATTTCCCAGTGCTAAGTGACTTGACACACTTTACAATGGATTTTGCACTTTACAACCTGTTCCCAATGCAAATTTCCCACTTTTCATTAGCTAAGAGCATAGACAAATATGCAGGACATGAACAGAGTTCCTTGGCACTGTCCAAATAAACAAAGTGAGTCAGGATGTATCATAGTCCATCAGAGATGGGGGCAGAACACCTGTGTCATAGCAACCTGCACTGCCAGCAATCCAAGCTGTCCACAGAGAGTGGTCATGCCAAGAACAATGACAAGTATGAGCAATGCAATGAGGCATGTGACACACATGACTAAGTAAAGACAAAAAAGGAAAGACCCCTGACAAGGTCATAACATCACCCTTCCCCCCTCTATGGTCCTCAGACCCTTGAGGATGAAGCACAGGTGTTAAAAGTGGCAGAGGAAAGGGGTTGATGAGTAGTATAAACCTGGAAACAGGTGTGTGAGGAGACCAGAGGCAATGGAGACAGCAGTTCCTCGAGGGATGGTGTATATTTGGAACTGCATCCATTCCAGCATGACCAATGCCCCAGGTAGTGGCATTGAAATCAAGTGTGGGGGTGCAGGACAGGGGTCTGTCCCCCAAGGCAGAAGCAAAGTTGATCTTCAGGGATGGGGAGGAAGGGAGCTGAAGGGAGAGGTGCAGTGGTGTGGATGGCATTATGATAGTCATTGTTGATACCACCCCATGTAGTGTCCTGTAAAAGTACCTCCCAGGCAGAGGTGGAACTCCCATTCCTGGCTGGAGACCAACCTGTTTAAACAGGGTCAGGTTGTCAACCTACTCTACTGGGGCAGTCCACTCCACTTCCACTTTCTTCTCAACTTCCTTCTTGATGATGGGTTCTTCAGGCTTCTTTTTGATGCAATCTAGGATATGAGAAGCTGGGGGAGCTAGGAATTCTCCAATCTGTCAATCAAGAAGGTGGTGATGAGCACCACCCATTACCACTTCTAAAACCTCCAAATAGCCCCTTTCCAACATATTGATCATGATCACCTCTGAGAGAGGTGTGGTTCCTTGCAGCTTTCTGGTGCAAATTTTGGAGATACACTGTCTGATCACATCTGATGCTCTGTAGATTTCAGACAGCACCCCAAAATACTCAACCTGTTCTGATGAGCACCCATCAATGTTGTCCCCTTTGTTGAAGATGTCAAGTGCCCTAGCAATGTCCAGGTAGTCACTTTCTGCAATTGGTAATCATGGCTTGTCATCCTGGGCAGCTGTGATGGTGGCAAGGAGGTTGAGAGTGGCATACTGTCCACCAGCAGAGTAGGTTGAGGAGGCAGTACAAGGCTCATTGGGGGCATCAGACAAGGTTCCTCAATGATTGGCATCATGGTCAGGCTTCTCTTCATCCTTTCCCTTTCCCTTCAACTTACTGGCTCCACTTGGGGAGCCTCTGGGCCTTGGGGCTGGTACTCAATGAACTGAGAAGCCCTGGTGTGGATGTGGTCAGAGAGGGTGGGTGACAGGGGGCAAGGGTATGTCCCACTGTGACATGAGGGATGTGGTGTCTGACTCAGGAAGGTGGGTGTCAGACAATGGGAGAGGGGATGAACTATAGATGGTGATGGGGGGCACAAGTAACTCAGGCCAGTCTGCTGCAGGGTCATAAAGGGATTCATTTGGGAGGTCAGCATAGTCATTTTTGGTGTTGACAGAGTGGGAAGAGTCCATGGAATGGGTGTCTTTAATTTTGAAGGTGTCAAGCAAGCTTGTACTGGTCAAGGGCTTCAGAGGCATGGTCTTTTATGTGCTTTTTGGGTTCCCATGCATCCTAGGGTGTTGAATAGTGCATGTCACATGTGGTTGTATGATGGGCATTCATATAAGTAGTGATGTACCATTTCTCTGCTGTTGTAGTTGCATTGTAGACATTTGGGAGTGACACTTTTCTTGATGTGGTGGAGGTGTTGATTCAGTGGCATGTGGCCCAACCTCAGCTGGGTGAGGACACCTGTGTGTTTTTTCGTCAGATGTCCTACTAAGTTCATGAACAATGGGGAAGGGAGATTGCTATCTATTCTACTGAGGTGAGGGTGTCTTGGGGACTTGCACCAGTTGGATTTCCAGATGTTTGTGAGCTTCTTGTTGTTGTGTTGTGTCAGGGTGGATAGGCTTGCTGGTAGTGTACAATGCAACGAGAGTGGGAGGTGCTTGGTAGTAGTTGATTTTGACTGATCTTGTGTGGCAATTTTTGCCTCAGCATCTGTGAGTTCATTACCCAGTATACCTGCATGACCCACTATCCAGTGTAGGGTGATGTCCCCTCTTCCTAGGTGTTCATCCTTTGCTAGTCATCTGAACATTTTTCTGAAACACAAGGCAAGATGATGTCCTGGTTTAGATAGCATGTTCTCACCCACTCTGATGATGGCCTGATTATCAACAAAGATGGAAGCTGGGAAAATGACATCTCTTGTTGTGTGGAGTAGGTGGGCCACAAGCATTATGGCTACTACTTCAGCTTTGTACATGGTGTGTGTCCTTGCTGGGCTGAGATGGTATTGCATTGTAGTGATGTGGCACAACTTGATGTATATGGCAGCAGCCACACCTACCTTGCCATTGATAAGCGAGCCATCAGTGTAAACTTTTGTTGGGTTGCAATTCCCAAGGTGTAATGTGATAGCTTCCTCTTTGTTTGATGCAATGGATGTGTGGAATGGGGGGGTTGCACTGGGGTGATACATGCATGGGTAGATGGTTTTGACTTCTGATGGGGTGATGTGGAATGTGTGGGAGAGATGGTGCAGAGCCAAGTGGTGTTGTCAAACATAGTATTTGGCTGTGTGGAAGATGTGGGGGTGTAGTGGGTGATTCTCTGGCAGGGCAGACATATGCGAGTATGCCATGTAGAGCACTTTCTGTATAGCGAGTGCTGCTGGTAGGAAGTGGGTGTGGACATCTAGCAAGTCTGTAGGTGACCTCCTCATAGCTCCTGGGATGGCTATTGCCACTGCATGTAGTGTCTGGGCCAGCTTCCTGGCCACTCCTTTCAAACCTGGTATGGGTGAGTCAGTGGAGGAGTCATACATTGGGCGCAGCCAGACACTGGCTGCATATAGTGTTTTGGGTGGTGTGACTGCTTGGTAGAGTTGGCATGTCATCTTGGCTGGCATTCCCCAGGATGTGGCCATTAGGCATTGAAGCAGTACTGAGTATGCTGCACCCCTGGCCACAGTCTTTATGGTCTGTTCCTTCCAGTGAAGTTCCTGGTCCACTACTACCACAAGGAACCTGTGCAAGGCAGACAGGTGGATCGTGTGTCCTCTGATGATGAGGGGAGGACATTCCTTGTTTTTGTTTCTTGAGAAATTGATGAGGGCAAACTTCAACATCTCGAATCTGGAGTTGTGACTGTGTGACCAGTTGAAGCCTCCATTTTGTCTTTGCATCATGTTGTTCAGTGTCGCATGAGTCTCATGGAAGTCTTTCCAAGTAGCAAGGAAGCTGGTGTCATCAATGAAGGCTAGCATGAGTTCCTTCTTGGAGGTTGCTACCTCAATGAGGTCAGCATTGTATATGATGTATAACACCATTGATAGTGGGTCACCCTGTCCAATGCCATTAGTGATGTCATGCCAGTCAGAGACATGGTCATTGAAGCATAACCATGTTTTCCTGCCTGTGAGTAGGTGCTGGGTGAACTTGACGATGGCAGTGGGTAGTCTTCTTTTCCTCATGTTGTGGATGAGGTGGTTGGATACCATGTTGGGGAATGCCCCTTCTATGTCAAGGAAAAGTGCCAAGACAACTTCCTTCCTCCTCCAAGCATTCTTGATCATTGATTCTAGGAGGTGTAAAGAGTCAGTTGTGGATCTTCCTGGGTGGCCTCCAAAGTGTGTTTTTGGGAGGAGATTGTGTTGCTTGAGTGTGTATGACATGCATTCTGCTATGATGGCAGTGAGCAGTGTTGCCATTGTGTTGAGGAGTGCAATGGGTCTGTAGGCCTTGGGGGTGGAGTAGTCTGTTTTCCCTGGTTTGCAGAGTATAACTGTAGTTGATTCCCTCCAAGGGTCATAGTATGTTTGCAGGGTGAACACAGCATTGTATAGCAGGAGGAGATAGTCAGCAAGGATGGGTGATCTCTGAAAGATGACATTAGTGATCTTGTCCAGGCCAGGTGCTTTGTAGGGGCTTAGTCTCTTTATTGCTTTATGCAGCTCCTCCATTGCTATGGGGGGCCAGCCCTCGACCAGGGCTGGGTAGTCATTGTCTTCTGGTGTGACGGAGTAGGGGTGAGGGGGTGGGAATAGGGCTTGGGTGAGCATGTTGCTGTGTCTGTCTTTTGTAGTTAGTGTAGGCACATGGGCTTTACCTCCATCCCTGGTGGGATTGGTGATGTACTTGTTCGCAACCCAAATGTCACTGTTGGTGGCATTGTCCAGCCACTTGGTCCAGTGATCCTTTTTAGCTTGGATTATGGCATTTGCATAGCAATTTCTGAGGTTCTTGCTGTTCAGATGGCAGGGGTGATCCAGCAGCACTCTGAACCTGTGCGATAGGCGGTCTAGCCTGTTGACCTGTTGGCATAGGAGGGTCAGTTCTCATGCTCACCATCTTTTCTTGTGAGGGTGGGGTCATGTTCTCAGTACATAGTCCTGTACTGTGTTCACCATTGCTCTTTCCAATTGCCATGCTGCTCTCTGGAACTCCTCCTTGGTGGCTAACACTCTGGGGTCAGGGATCATGGATAGCTCATATGCCAGCCTTGTCTTGAAGGCTTCCCAGTCGATGTCTTTGTAGTTGCAGGACAGGATTTCTGTGGCCTTTGATGTGGACAACTCTATCTGTGTCTGTATGGGGAGGTGGTCAGTCTTGGGACCATGGTTTGCTGGGTCTTTTTTGCATCCCAGGACCAAGTCTGCCATGTGGGCTGCACAGAAGATGTTGTCTGGCCTTGTCCAGTTACCAGAGCTGGCTGACTGGAGGGTGGGCATGTCCTTGGGAAGGCTCTGTACTAACTCGAAGTCAGCCAGGAGGTCAAGCAGAGTCTGTGCAGATTTCAGGGCTGCATTGGTGGAGAGGTGGCTGTTGTGGTGGTCTTTGTCCCAGAGGGGGTGGTGCCTGTTGAAGTCTCCAAGGAGGATTATGTGATCAACAGCCAATGGGCAGATGGTTCATATGTTTTGCTCCAGGAATGTGCAGAGCACTTCAATTGTCCTGTCATGAGTACAGTCGTTGTATACATTGATTAAGGTGCAGCTGCTGTGATTGCCACTCAGCTTTGTTACTACCACATCTGAGGATGGGAAGGGTATCTGTCTCCATCCATTAGTGTTGGTCCTCATGTTGATCAGAGTTACCACTTGTGACCTTTCACCCTTTTCAAATTTGTGAGTTGGGTAGACCACCCTCCATTTTGTGGTTGCTTTTGTGTTTCTGAGCCAGTCTATTGTGGGCTCCTGGATTGCTAGAATGTCCCAAGTGTTAGCGATGAAGTCATTAAGTAAAGAGAATTGGGCTGTTAGTGATGTGTTAAGGTTTTGCTGCCATATGTTTAGTCTGATGTCATTGGTTACTTGTTGTTCAGTCATGGGGGAACATGATTTTGGGGGGTGTGTTCTCTGTCACTGCATTTGGGTCTGGGGGAGGGAGGAGGTTGGAGGCTGGGAACATGGGAATGGGAGTGTGCTGAGATGACTCCTGGCATCCTGTATTTGGGGTGCCTCTTCCCCTGCCCCTGTGACGAGTTCCTCAAGATGGCAGGGCATGGGTTCTGGTATTGCTGTATGCTGTCATTTCCATGAGAGTGAGTTGACAGGTGGGCTGTGAAGGGGGGTGACTTTTGCCAGGCTGGGTAGTTGTGGGAGGGGGTGATGATAGGATGATGGGGCAATTGGGCTTCGGTGGTAGAAGGACCTGGGTAGTTCCAAGGTGGGGAAGTATGGCATAGCATTATCAGGGGTCCTGCTGTCGAGGTCTGCACATTTCCTGACAAATTCTGGGCATTCCTGGTCAGAGCTGGCATGGTCTGGAGTGTCGCAAGCCACACAGTAGTACATCTTGCAGGACTTGCATTTCGATGTTCTGTGTTTGGCTCCACATGTTCCACAGGTGTTGTGGTTGGCCTTGCAGTCCTTGGCAAAGTGGCTGAATTTCTGGCATTTGAGGCAATGGATGGGCTCTCTCTTGTCCTTGCATGGTCTGAGTCAGTCATGATCAACATATAGGCCTTCTCGCAGAATCTGGTTTGCTGATTCTGGGGAGTTGAGCCTGAAAAGGGTGTGAGCATAGCACTGTCATGTGTCTCTGTGGTGAGGAGGCTTGATCTACTTTGCTTCTTTGATACTTCCTACTGGTATGTCACTTTCTTTTTCTATTTCAGCGAGGGCCTCCCTGGAATCCAGCTGCTTGGTTATGGGGACAAAAGGGATCATGACATTGTATGATCTTTCCCAGATGGTGGTGTCTTCCATGGTCTCAAGGAAGGTGGTCTTCCCCTGGGGGTCCAGGAGCCATTTGGCTGCTTCAGTTGAGTTGAGTTCTAGCACTAGGCTGCTGTTGCACAGCCAGGATTGTGACTTGAGTTTGACTGGTGGGCTCTCATCCATTCCTAGCATGTTGAGTGCTTCCTTGATCATGGTGATCAGAGTGTCTTTGGTTGAGTTCTGCTGAGTGTGGGGGTTGTTTGCATTGAGATCAATGAGGATCTTTCTTTCTTTGAGGGCCAAGTGTGTGCAAGCTAGGTCTGATGGGAGAGGATTAGCATGTTTTTCTGGCAGGGGGTTGGTGCTTAGCAGAGCGCCCTTGTATGAGCTGGTTGGAGGTGGGGATGCAGTCAGTGTGGTGGCAGTCATCGCAAGGGTTTCTGAGGCCTCTGGGACCTTGGCCACTTGCAGGGCTATGGCTGATATCACAGAGGATACTAGCATCTTGCTGACTTCTTGGATTATTTTGTTCAATTGCTCTGACATATGATGCTCCCAAAGGAGGAAGGCTGTGGCAGTGATGCCATTTGTTTGTAACATGTGGAACACCATGTTTGATAGGTGTTTTGGGGTCATTGGCTGACCTACCCCCATGAGGAGAAGGCTGTCTAAGTATTCTCTTGCAGAGGTGGTGTCAACTATTTTTTCATTCAGGAATGACATGATTTCCAAGGGAGTGAGGGTCTGTTGAGACACCCTGGTGGTGGGGGAGGGTGGTGAGGATGGTGAGTGCCTTGTGGGCTGTGACAGTGCTATAGCTCTAGTAGCTAGGCAGTCATTTTGGGCCATTTTTGTATGGAATTGTCTAGTGCTTCTATTTTACATCATCTAGGCCTATGACAGGCTCTGTGTACCACTGAGGACTATGAACTTTGATGAACCTGAGCTGCTTTTTGCAGATTTTTTCAGGGTCCTTTTCAGGGTGCCAGGTGGAGCAGAGTCAAGAAGCATCCTTTCCCTTCCATATGTTGCCAACTCTGTAATCTATCATAGAGGGGCCCCTCTTTATGTTTTGACCCTATAAAGCATATGATGAATGGCCCCATCCATATATTGTGACCCTCTTCATGATATGTACAATAGGCAGGCCCATCCATGTCTTATAGTAGCTCAGCATACTTACTTGGTCATGGGCCTGTCTATATGTTGCAGCATCCTTACCCTCCACAGGCCCTCCCATATGTTATGGCATTGCACTTATGGGCCTGTACATATGTTGCTCTCACTATAGCCCCTCAGGCCTGGCCATGTGTCATGGCTAATCTATTTAGATGTGCCCATCTTGGGGTCTATATAAGTGTTGGCATTTTGGTGGGCAGGCTACCTATATGTTGTGACTAAATGGGCTACATGGGGTCAACTGACAACTTGAGAATCACTTTGACTTCAACAAAGTCACCATCACAGATTTTGGTAGATACTTGGCAGGGATGATGAGAATGCCTTGTCTGTCATGCATGCCTGGTGTAGCAACCTTTGCATCAATGAGTCCACTATATGTTTTCAAAAGACCTGCATAGCAACTATGAGGATCAGGCAAGTTGCAGATCCTTGTCATGACCATACATTGGAATAAGCCTCTAACACCTACTCTGCCCTCTTCAGACATGTTCCTGCACTTCTCTGCCCTCTTCTGATACATTCCCATGCTCCTCTGACCCTTCTGACACATCTCCACACCTCTCTGAGGTCTGCTGTCCATGCTCCAACCAACTCTGCTCAACTCTGCCCTCAGGCTGGTCATGTGGAGGAGGTACTGCTTACTTCACCAGAATGTTTCCAGTTTTTTGTGCATTTTCGATGACTGTTTTCCACTGTGTACAGGTATCATTGCAATGTAGTGGAGGGTTTGTCTGTCAATTGTAGATGCAGCAATTCCAGTATAGGCTGCTTTGACTGACAAATTCTGCACACCTCAAGACCGAAAATTTTGCATGATTGTCTGAATTGTCTTTGATTTGCCAATGCCTGCTTCACCAGGAATGATCATTCGCAATTGTGGTGGATTGAGGCCTGAGAGGTATTGTTATAAATGCCAGTCAACAATGTCATATGCATGCTGTTGATTGTCCAACAGCTCAGTGACTGGTACAGATTTGAGAACATTGATGTTCCCTGTCAACCCTGTGAGTAAGCTCACATCTCCATGGTCGCCTTCCATGAGAGCTCTACTGAGGTTGCTAATGCTATTCTTGACATTCATCATATCATCGACAGTCTGTGGCATTTGTGCATCTGGCATGGCTGTCAACACTATGGCCATGGTGTGCATTGACTTCAACCACCTCAAGAGTTGAGGGTCTTCCCCCTGTGTGATAGGATAGCTGCTTGCACTCCTGACAGTGTAAAGAGACCATGTGTCAGACCTATGGTAATTGCCTCATCAGCATGCCTCTCTTCATTTTGTGATAGTTGATTGCATTTGAATTCTATAAGGTCAGCATGTGTTAACAGAATAAGCATTTCTTCCATAGGCTCATTGCTGCCATCATCTAATGGAAGTTTGTCTGTAGGCACCCAGGCAATGTGGCTGGCAGACATTGATGCCTCCATTGAGGTTGTGTTGCACACCAATCTTGATTTATAATAGAACTGAATGCCTGACAAAATTTGCCTATGGGAAGGGTGCATCTGCACCATGAAAGACTGAAACTCCTGACTCCAGGTTGCAGCATCACCCTTCAGATCCTGTCCCTTTTGCCACAGTTTCAACAGTGCCAGCATAGATGTGCAGTAGAAGTTGTCTCCAGTGTTGGTTCATGGAAACCAAGGTCCTGCAATTTGAGGTAAGGTGTTGTGACCCTTAGCATGAAAAACATGTTGATGGCTGTCTGCTCTAGGATGTCCATCCATGTAATGTGATTGCACATGAATGGGGCAGCCTTGTTTAGTTGTTGATCCCTCTGTCTGTTCATGAGCAGGTTGCATTGTATAAGTTTCATCCCATGTGTCAATCACAAAAGCCAAAAGACCACATTTATCCATTTCTGGTCCATGAAAGACATAGTCCTCAAGTTGTGAACATGTATAAATGTCACCCCTTTTATTGGCATGAAGTGTGACCATCTTGCTCTCATCCTTCATAAATTCATTAACAATATTGAGGACTTGAACAGAAAGTGTACTTACAGTGGCTCAAAAAACTGTCCACATGTTTGTATGTTTTACATTAGTTATGACCAAATGCAATAACCCCTAACCATAGCCCTAAACCATGAGTGTATGAAATAAGGTACTTACTCCTGGCTTTCTATTGGTCCATGAATCAAGTGATTTGGATAGGAATTGATAAAATAGCAGCCATTTGAAAATGTCATGTCATGTGGACAGTTTTTTGACTTAAAGTTTTGATTACATAGTTTTGAGTTTAACAAAGTTTAAAATGCTGTGAGGTGCTTACTGATGCTTACATGGTATATCACATGGTCTATTTAATGATTTGTCATCATACAAACAATGCCAAACAATGAATTGGGTCCATCAAGGCTCCCTCTTCTACCCCAACTCATGAAACCATCCTCCCAGTCCATCTGGGCCATTTTCTCAGAGTAATCCCCATAAATATTGGTGCCCACTACAGTAATGTCATCAGGGTATATGTCCAATACAATCAAACCCTTAAAAAATCTGCTTTCAGTCATCCCTGTGCTGTTTCCCCCACCCACACCTGACATGTTCTGCAACTAATCAGTACTGAGAATGCTGGAAATGCCATGGAGGTCAATCCAGCACATCAGGAAATGATGAACAAACAAAACACCTTTTAACCAGTGCATCTTCACCACAGTGCAACTAGTTTCAATGCTGGGGTGAGACAAAACATTCCTGTGCACTTCAGGTGGCATGGGAAGCATGGCTAGACTGTGCTCTCAGCTGACTGTGGATGACTGAGAATGGGTGATTTGGTTATATAAGACCATAGGTAATACTCAGGGCTAGATGGAGTGATGGAATCTCCCTCCTAATAGTTCAGTGGACTATCCCCCCCAGGGCACCTGGACTGTAATGAAGAGTTTTAGTCCACCCTAGCCCTCAACCCAGCACCCCTGAGGTGGAAACCCACCAGATAAGATGTGATTGGATTGTTGGTCATGTTTTACAGTGCCAGATTAACCATCATGGCTTTTTCAGCATTCTCAGTACTGATTAGTTGCAGCACATGTCAGGTATGGGTGGGGGAAACAGCACAGGGATGACTGAAAGCAGATTTTTTAAGGGTTTGATTGTATTGGACATATACCCTGATGACATTACTGTAGTGGGCACCAATATTTATGGGGATTACTCTGAGAAAATGGCCCAGATGGACTGGGAGGATGGTTTCATGAGTTGGGGTAGAAGAGGGAGCCTTGATGGACCCAATTCATTGGTTGGCATTGTTTGTATGATGACAAATCATTAAATAGACCATGTGATATACCATGTAAGCATCAGTAAGCACCTCACAGCATTTTAAACTTTGTTAAACTCAAAACTATGTAATCAAAGCTTTAAGTCAAAAAACTGTCCAAATGACATGACATTTTCAAATGGCTGCTATTTTATCAATTCCTATCCAAATCACTTGATTCATGGACCAATAGAAAGCCAGGAGTAAGTACCTTATTTCATACACTCATGGTTTAGGGCTATGGTTAGGGGTTATTGCATTTGGTCATAACTAATGTAAAACATACAAACATGTGGACAGTTTTTTGAGCCACTGTGCATCTCTCTCAGTGCAACTGTTGGAGTGTTGGACATTCTCACCACTGTGGACATTCTTGCCATCATCTGCACCCCCCATCGCATTTCTGTTCAGATCCTGATGAACAATGTTGCACAAGATCAAAGATCACATTGAACTGACCTGTGAGCTGTTGTTGTTGAAAGCCCTGGAAATATTTGCCTAATCACAGTGAACAATGTGCTTGTGTACAGTGGTGCATAGCAGTGAGACCAAAATGTATCCCCATACCCCATGATGTAAGACATGACTTGCAGTCCAGACAATACCACTTTGTGGTTGATGATGTTGATGCAACAGTAGAGTAGGAGTCAGTTTCACTTGCAAATGTCCTCATACCATGGGTCATTTTCATGGTATGCCAATGCAGAGGCCATTAGTGCAGAGAGGTTGTGTGACTTCTTTGTTTCTTCATTGCATATGCAGTAACATAAAAAGTCACATCTTTCATATCTTTGCCATTGGTGTTAATTTTGATGTTGTTGTTGCATCACATATTCATCAGTATCAATGGACAGTAGTCATTGATATACCCTAGAGTCCTCTTTGGTTCCAGTTTCCCCTTTCATTGACATAAGCATCTTTGCTGAGGGGCCATGGTGCACAATGCTTGCATAAAAGCTGGCCATTTTGAATGTGAAGACATGTTGTGCAAGAGCATGTGTGAACCCATTGGGATCACAACAGCTGTTGCTCAAGTAAATGGGTTTGTTTATCCCAATCATCCTGTCTGGGATTGGGTGGCCATGAATATGCTATTTGAGTGTTTTGCAGCATTGTCTTCAAGTCTTGCTCTGTGACATCATCTAGATGGGCACATATGTTGACCTGAATGTACTCCTGGATTTTCTCACAGAATGTGGGTGTTTGCAGTAACCATTGCATTTTGGACATGTCCAGTGTACCTGCCAACCACAGTAGCATATGCACATGTAAGGTTCCTCTGCCCTGCACCTCTACCACACCAAAATAAGTGGACAATCACCCCAGGATACCCATGTTGCTACAACATCAGGACAGCTGCTTGGTGATACCCAACAAAGTCTCCAACATGGTCTCTATCAAGAAATTGAAGAATTTCACAGCTGCAGAAGGATTGCTTGTGATATTGGTCACACACTGATGGCTGTCAGGTCCTGCAAGAGCATCAAATCTGTTGAGGTCAATAATCTCTCCAGCCAACACTTGAGCAATTGGATCATGCATATCAGCAGGGATGATCATCATCCATTTCATAGGTCCTCCCAGAAAAAGACATGATCCCCATATCATACCATGATACTGAGTGTGAGCATTGTCACACCATTTGACCTTGCTGTTGGCTGTGACAACATGTTTGTGCAATGCTTGTACCTGTGGATTGCTAATGATGGTTTTCCTTGCTTCTTCTTCCTTGGCTTTCTTCAACTCCTTGATGGTCAAACATGACAATGCTAGAGCATCTTGATTGAAGTCTTTCCTTTGCATTTGCAGATGAGCCAAGCACATTGCATTGTACTTTTGGATCATGGCAAAAATCACAAATGGGAATGTATGATGGGTGACAAACCAGCAGTCATAGTACTGCATTGCCCACCTCACATGTTTGCAAAGGCTGTCATTTGTTGAGTGGTCAGCCTCTATACCTCCACATCCATAGGGAAAGAGGCATGGGAACACAGTGGCAAGTGGATTGGGGGACCCTCTTTCCATTGGATCCTTGCTGAAGTCTCCTATGGGCTTCAGACCATGCTGCACCACATAACTGCCTTCCTGTGTCATGTCCATCAGGTTGGCAAGGGCATATGTCATAAGTTCCAAGGATGAAACATGACTGAGATCACTGTCAGTGACACTGAGTGCATGCCATGGTATGACATCAGCTTCTAGGTTGTTTTCATTCAGTTGCTTCCAAAGTGTATACACAGTGTGCAGATCATCTAACCTTTGTCATTTATTATGTTGTCTGTATCACTGCAGGGCATTTCATCATTTGTGGCTTCCATTTTGTCATTGGGGTCATCTTCAACATTAAACACTGAGCATGTCAACAATGGTAGGTGTTCTTCAGTCATTGAATAACCCACTTACAAATTTCATCCTCTATGGCATCCTGCACATACCCATTCCTTTCTTGTAAAGTGATCATGCCATCATCTTTGCATCAAATGACAGGCTCTATTTCTTGCAGAATTTCATCATGCAGTAGAGTCATCAGATGCTGTTGTGAGATGGTAATATCATGGTAAAGGGGATTGTTCTCTTTCAGCCATTGTAATGCCTTGTGAATGGCCTCCCACCACATGCAAAAGGTGCATGACAACCAATTCTTTGGCAGCATGCATGTTCCTATGAATGTTATCACCAATATGCTGCTAAGTGTTGTCACATCCTGTAGCATCAGACATCCTTCCAGCATGCTGGCTATCACCATGGTATTGACCTCATACAATGTCACATTGCCAGCCATGCCTTGCTGAAGGTGAGCTGGATTGTACCCACACAATCCATCTTTTGGGTATAACTTGAACACATAGCAGTGCAGATAATGCTGGGTGACCAAAAGCATTTCTGCAAACATCAATCTGCAAAGTTCCAACAGTGGGTCTCCCAACCACATATTATTGTTCAATGCAAGCTTTGGCATGTCGTTGGCCCTCAGTGCCTGGTAACATTCCCAGCATACCCATCCCTTCCCAGTGTCACCCACATTGTGCTTTAACAGCAAAAGGCCCTGCCATAGATCGTGTGCTGGATGGATCAGTTCTGGTTTGAGGTGGATTTGAATATTGGTTATGTTTTCTATAAGCTCTTCTTTACCTGTGAAAAGTGATGAATAACATCAGGATCATGAATGTGCCAGCTAACCTTTGTTGATCATCTGTTCATGTGCACAGACCACACATACACCCCATCATAATGTGGTGCTCCCCATCACCTGGATGAAAGCTGTGACTTGCATGCATACATCTTTCTCTGATGGCAGTCTCAGGTACTCATCCTCACACAAGCCAAGTCTGAATGGACTGGGGGGATGGTCTTCACTTTCCTGCTGCTTGGATTGCTTGATCCACATCAATGCTTGCCATTTTGCTTGATATTGCCTGTCAACCTCATGCTTTTTCTCTTTCTTACTTTGCTCCTTGGCAGTGGTGATGACAAGTATATGTTGTTGCACCTCAGGCAACAGTTGACTTATTGCTGGCCTGAGCTGTGCCCATGTTTGAAGTCCATCAGGGAGCAATCCAGGTGGAATGCAATCATAAACTTGTTGCTGGGTGAGATGGCCCCATATATCTGTCATGGTCTGCACTTGATGAGGTGTGCTGGTGCATGTTTTCCAGGACTTTGACATGTTACCATATTCACTCTGCAGGGCCCTCCTAATCTGTCCCCTTTTCTGCTGAGTATAAAATGGCATGCTTGTTAAGGGACCCCATTCCAACCCTTCTGCTCAAACCACCATGGCACCATGCACAGCTAAGGAAAAACAGAGGATGTTGTTACCTACTACTGGTTAGTCCTTTCATCTACTTTGTAGGTCATCAGTGACATGGCCAACTGACAGTCATGCTACAGAGGTGGAGAATGCAGAGGGTCAATCAGCTGAGAATAACCAATTGTACACTGTCAAGGGTGGGCCTGCCATGATATCAACAGCAGCAGCAGAACCTACCACATCTTCCTCCACATCCAAGGAAAGAACTCAGGATGACTCCAATGAAATTGATGAGCTCATAAGCATGTTGAAGACCAACACCCTCGCATTCTATGGCACCAGAGTGCAACTCACCTCTCATGTGGAATTCTTCCAAGGTGGTTTTTCTGGCAACATCACAGTCATGAAAGACAGTGGCAATGAAATGATGGAACTGCTTATCAGTGGGATCTTTCAGGTCGACTGTCAAAACTTTTTCATGGGCCCCAAGGGAGCATACATGCCCTCAGGGGCTTTCAAGTGAAAGTTTTCTGAGACCAAACTTAGCTGTCAACTTATTGCTGTTCAGAAAGATGCTGCCTTTAAGACTGCCTGCACAGATTTCCCTGCAATAGTAGGAAATGTCAGGGCTCTGGAAAAACTCATCCCATCCAAGAAGGGGACAACATTGGCTTCTTGCATCTGTGAGGCCAACAGTGTCACCTCTATCCAGGTCAGCCACTCCTTGTTCATGAAGAAAGACAAGAATGTGGATCCAGACACAGCTAGTGTTGAGGGTTTGTGCTTCAACATCATCAGCCTTTAATTCAACTGACATATGACAGATGCTCGAACAGTGGATTAGCCACTTCAGGAATGGACAAGGATGGCATTGGATCATGCAGCAATGACACACATGGTTTGCCTCTTGCCAGCAGTCGATCAAAATCATGCAGCCATTGCACCCAGTGACTACCTACGAAAGGTTTGCAGTGCAGTTGTCATTGTGCACTTCACCCTAATACACTACTATTTCAAACAGGATAAAAAGTCTGTGTTCAGCGGCATGCTGTGTGAGATGGTGGTGCTATGTGAACCTCCCCCCCCACCTATGAACCCTCTGAAAAGATCTGTGTATGGTGGTGGTCCATCATTTTCCCACATGCCAACCACGAAGAAATTATGCCAAGTATGCATTGCATGTGCTTTGTGTTTACTGTCAATGACTTATACATCTTTCAGACTTAATGAGGGGTAAGGTGTCTGCATAAAGTGAATGTCACAGTCACTGTCTTTCGCTGTTTCTTGATTGTCAATTAAAGGCATTGTCAGTGTGTTAAAAGTTGTGGGAGGTGATAGATTCTGTGCAAGTCCATATGTATGTAGAAATATTGCAAGCTCTTGGACCAAACAGTCAAACACAGTAAAACTTTCACATTCCATATTACAATCTATGCTGCATGGCATGGTCTGCACTCCCTGCTCATTTGCTTGGAAATTGCATGACACAAGAGAGCCCTGTGCACCACAGGAGCTTACATGTCAATGGACAAAAAATCTGCCATGTATCACCTCAGCAACCTGCTGATCAAGGGGTGCAAGCCCTTTTGCAGATCAACTCACTAATGTGCCTCTGTCAAAAGGGTCACCACATGTTGGGGGTTTCAGCAATGAATGTCACTTTTCCCCTGCTGGGGCTCCTTTCAAGTCAAACAATGGAGGTACCCTTAACTTTATGGGCAGCAGCATACTGATGATAGGGAGCCTTCCCCCTTGGTGACCAACCCATTATCAAACCCCATGTAGTCCATTTAGTCACAACATATAGGTAGCCTGCATGCCAAAATGCCAACACTTATATAGATCCCACAATGGGCCCATCTAAATAGATTAGCCATGACACATGGACAGGCCTGAGGGCCTATAGTGAGAGCAACATATGTACAGGCCTGTAAGTGCAATTCCACAACATATGGGAGGGCCTGTGGAGGGTAAGGATGCTGCAACATATAGATGGGCCTGTGACCAAGTAAGTATGCTGAGCTACTGTAAGACATGGACAGGCCCATCCATGGTAGGGTGCGCCCCAGTCACAATATCAGGATGGGCCCACCTATTGTATCATGAAGAAGGTTGCAACATCTGGATGGGCCCATCTGTCATATGCTTTATAGGGTCACAACATAAAGAGGGGCCCCTCTATGATAGATTACAGAGTTGGCAACATATAGAAGGGCCCATCTTTAGGATAATATACCCCTGTCACAACATATAGATAGGCCCATCCATAGCAAGATGTACACCTGTCACAACATAAGGATGGGCCTGTCAGTAATATCATTGACAGCATCACAACACATAGATGGGCCCATCTAGTAAGATGCATCCCTGCCACAACATAGAGACAGGCCCATCAGTGATGTCATTTATAGCATCACAAAATATGGATGTGCCCTTCCATAATACCATTTATACCATCACAACACATGGGCAGGCCCATCCATAGTAAGATGTACCTGTCACAACATAAAGACAGGCCCTTCAATATATATCATCTACAGGGTCACAACACATGGATGGGCCCATCTAGTAAGATGCACCCATGTCACAACATAAAGACAGGCCTTTCAGCAATATCAATTACACAGTCACAACAGATTGGATGGGCCTGTCTAGTAAGATATGCCCCTGTTGCAACATAAGGATGGGCCAATCAATAGCAACATGTATGCCTGTCACAACATAAAGATGGGCCCATCAGTAATATCATTTACAGCATCACAACACATAGATGGGCCTGTCCAGTAAGATGCACCCATGTCACAACATAAAGACAGGCCCTTCAATATATATCATTTACAGGGTCACAACACATGGATGGGCCCATCTAGTAAGATGCACCCATGTCACAACATAAAGATGGGCCAGTCAGTATTATCAATTACATTGTCACAACAGATGGACAGGCCCATCTAGTAAGATATGCCCCTGTCACAACATAAGATGGGCCCATCAGTAATATCAATTACACAGTCACAACACATGGATGGGCCCATCAATAGCAACATGTATGCCTGTTGCAACATAAAGATGGGCCCATCAGTAATATCATTTACAGTGTCACAACACATAGATGGGCCCATCTAGTAAGATGCACCCCTGTTACAACATAAAGACAGGCCCATCAGTAATATCATTTATAGCATCACAGCGTATGGAAGGGCCCTTCAGCAGTATCATTTATGTGGTCACAACATAAGGACAGGCCCTTCAGCAGTATTATTTATATGGTCATAATGTATGGATGGGCCCTTCAGTAATATCTTTTATATTGCCATAAAACAAGGACAGGTCCATCTAGTAAGATCCACCCCTGTCACAACATAAGATGGGCCCAACACCAATAGCACATATAGCATCACAACATATTGATTGGATCACAGCAAAATATTGAGGCAAGCATCCCAACATGCTGTAATTTTCCAACAGGCTGCAAGTGGCTCACCCACTATACAACTCCAACCTCATCCACCCCAAGCATGAATACTATGCAAGACATGTCTAAAACCCCCCACAGATGGCAAATGGAACTAATAGACTGCATTTTGTCATACATGAGAGCCAGATTTCAAGAGGAGGTATTCAGCAGACCTCATGCCCTTCCAGATATATTGATTCTGTTTCTGGTGTTATGTGAAGCAGATCACATATCATCAGTAATCTCACAGGCCTATCATTGCTGAAGTAAGTCCATCATAATGGTGCAATGGAAGTTTTCATCTTTCCACAGTCAACATTGGGAAAAATTGGGGTGGAAAAACCTGCAATGCAAAAGCTGCTGAGAGATATGCAGAAGTGGCTGAGCCATCCATTCTGGTGACTGGCTTACACACCATCTGCATTTGGTATTTGCCAGATGCTCTCACCCCAAAAAGATGGGTAAGGGAATGCAGAATCTCATATTCTACTGACTTAATGCAATGGCAGGCCAACATATGGAACCACCTTCATCTTCTGAGGGAACCACTGTGGGAGAGCATAAAGGCTTCCCCACAGGCATGGTGGATGGACAAGTCATATTTCTGCAATAATGCTGAGTTGAAAGGTGCTATCAACCTGTCACCCACATGGTTTCAACAGGGCCATGGGGTGGGTGATCATTTCTTTCCTTGTGAATAAAGCACTCATATGTCTTTAAGCCCTAAAATGGCTTCCCAGAAGCCTCATGGCTGCTCAAATCCAGGATGGAAAACACTTCTACAAGGGAATGGGTCAACCAAATGTCTGACACCAATGCCCTGTTATCTGTGATCCTGCATGTCATCCATCTGTGAATGTATGCAGATGGCAGGGAAGCATTGATCTACCTTTGCAAACAGGCAGAACAGTGGGTGGATTCAGATATGAGCGCCATACTGCTGATATGGAGCTCCACATATAGCAGCATGTCCATGATGGTGAATCAGGCAACTTGTTACCACAGGGATATCAATGGACAGGATCCATGGTATGGCATGCTGGTAACTGTGGGTGACTACCCACCCTTGGACTTTGTCATTCCAACATTAAATCTGCAGCTGCACTACAACCCAGGGATGATCATTGCATTTTCAGGTTCAGCATTGGAGCATGGGGTGGGAGCTGTAGACAGTGACAGAGCATGCCTGGTGTACTACATGCATGCCAATGTACATCAGTCAGTGCATGTTCCAGTGTGTCAATCACCATGGATGGACAACCTACTACCTAGACCAGTTGCAACTGGAGAACTGTTGATTTGAAGCTGCAAAATTTAATGTAAGATTTAGTAGGCAATGCAGATCTTGTATTTTATTAGGATATGCTGGCTCTTGAACTTCAGATGGGTGGTGTTGCCAAGATTTTGCAAATGGGTGGGTGCTTTGACACCATAGATTGGGCAGGTACACAGAGCTAAAGGGTGTGCATCATAAACTGCAAAAAAAGTAAACCTACTCAGGCCATCATGCAGATGGGTGGATTGTCAGACATTGTGTGGATGGGCAGGGGTTCAGACATCATGCAAATGGGCAGTATCTCATAAATGATTGACATTCACAGCAATGTATGTTCAACCAACTCCACAGTCAAAAACATGTAAACTATCGAAGTGGCATGCCCAACAACCCACACAATGCCCACCACCTAGCATAGAAATGGTCAATTTGTCAACCCTGACCATTGACAACATCAGCATATTTCTGAATATTTTTGATGCAGTAGTTTACCTGCTCCTTGATATGGCTATTGAGATGGTCTGCAATTGGCACCTCAGGCAATGGCCATAAGCCCTGGGCCATCATCAACTATTTGCAGTGAAGAGAATAAGTGGTATACCTTGAAAAAATCCCAGGTCATGAAAAACAATCCCTTGCCTTGCAATCTTTGGGAATCTGCTGCATATTCCTCAGAATGATATAGCCACCAAGGGAATGCAAAGCCAGAATTGGGATCAGCTGTGTGTGGGGTCCAATGTGGGACAATGTGCAACACTGTCACCAGAATCAAGCTATTAAGCTGATTCTGAAGGAATTATGTATCAGTCCCACATTGTGAAAAGTTGATGTAAAACCTACCAAGTCCATTGCTAGGTTTGCAAACCAATGCACAGGCCATCCTGTGATATCAGCAGTCTACTTCAGATGTACAGAGGCCACCTTGATCTGGCACACCAAGTAGAGGATACCCATCTCTACCACAGACTGGTGAGATGGGTGTGATTGGTTGGGACAATTTTCAAAGAACATGGATAATGAACACCTTCCATCAAATTGAGCATATTGATGAGTTGAAGGCCCTGGGAGGCTGCACCATACTGGTCCCTTGCAGCTGTGCCCAATTCTCTCACAATGGCATTTGCAGCCTGCACAAGGTGCCTATTGAGGGTGGGATCAAATGGCGTGTCGCTGGGAGTAGTGTTTCCATGATAGCAAGATACTGCGGCATGTAAGGCACACAGGACTAAAATTATCAATGTCAAAGGTGTATCAGATTAAGCTCATGCACATACCTTGATCGCAATGCAGAACAGGTGCCAATCCCCATTGTTCCATTTGAAGAGATTGCTGTGCAGATGGAAGTTCACCTACAGAATTGATGGATATCAATGACCACATGAATAGAACCAAATACATGCTCACCGGTGCATATTTCCTCAAAAAGATCCCTCATCTCTGATCGTTTGGGCATGCCAAAAGTCAAACAGTTTGTGCCATTGTCCTCATCTGCTGCCAAGTCAAAAGTTTCGATGGGTACATTTGAAATGAATAGGGGAGGCATTGGTTCCCTCATATCCTTTGGGCAAGCAGGTTAGTTGGAGAATCAGGTCAAGGAGATCGGTCCCTCAGATTTGATGATTTGCAGGTGATGGGCAGAGGAGATGGTTCCTGCACATTCTGCAAGTCTGCCAGAAAATTGACCTGCATAGTAACATCTTGTGCAGGTGTTGAAGACCCATCCATCCTGTTTAATTTCTCATGCATGACTGGCAGTGCCAACAGTTCCCATGCATTCAGCAATCACTTGAGTAGATCCACATTCATCCCATCCACTGGGGGAGCAGTTGGTTCCTGTTCATTCAGGAACCAATTCATCAAGTTGTTGTGTGGATCTATTACCAGAAAATTAGTTTGTTTGTTAGCTTGAAGGGCAATTGTGCCAACTCACTGGCTGTGATTCTGCCCTCTGCCAGAGCAGTTGGCTCCCTTTCCTGCAGGAACTGATCCAGCAAGCTTTTGCATGAATCTATAGCAAAAGAATGTTTGTTGTTTAGCTTGGAGAGAAATCATGTTCACTCACCAGCTGCAATATCCATGTTCAACCCCAATTGTCTCAAGTGGAAGGGCAGATATGGCAGGGTCGAACATGGATATTGCAGCTGGTGAGTGAACATGATTTCTCTCCAAGCTAAACAACAAGACAGACAATGAGATATGTGGATGTTGCATTTTTTATCCCACCTATGAATGATTCCCATGGCATGACAGCAATACCAGTACAAGTCAATAATCCTGAGTGCATATATGAAGCAGAGGCTCAGATAAAAATATGATGTGTTGTTGTGGAATAGCATTGCTGTTTGTTTTGCATGTTTCCCATCTGCTCCAATGGCAGAGCCTGGCTCACAGCTGCATAGACCAGCACCTGAGATTCCAACTCAATAGGCAAATCATCCAATGTGAAACACAATTTATAGTGGGAAATTCAGATACTCTATAGTGTGAGAGGTTCCACTTTCTTCATTTCTTGTCTTCCTGGGCCTGTCTTATATTGTGACAGGGGGATATCCCAATTATGGATAGGCCCATCCATTTGTGGTGAGCTATCTATGATATGATGGATTAGCCTGTCTTATGCAGTGCCAGGGGTTTGTAATCCTGCGATGGATGGATCGGCCCATCTTATGTTGTAACACTGGTTTTTGTTTTCCCTTATCTGCTGCCTGAGAATACCATGGATGGGCCTGTCCTTATGTAGATCCCTTTGATCTCCCTTTCTGCTGCCTGAGAATGCCTTACATGGACCATCCTTATGTAGATAGCTTGGATCTCCCTTTCTGCTGCCTAAGAATACCATACACAAACTCATCCTTATGTTGCAACAGGGGTGCATCTTGCTAGATGGGCCCATCCATTTGTTGTGATGATATACATGATACTACTGAAGGGCCTGTCCTTATGTTGTGACACTATTAGATGATATTACTGATGGGCCCATCCATATGTTGTGATGCTATGCATGAGATTACTGATGGGCCCATCCATATGTTGTGACTCTATTAAATGATACTAGTGATGGGCCCCCTGTTGCAACATCAAGGTGGGCCTGCCTATCATAACATGGAGAGGGTCACAACATAAGGACGGGCCCATCTATGATTAGAATACAAAGTTGGCAACATATGGACAGGCCTGGGAGTAATATCATGTATGGTGTCACAACATCTAGACAGGCCCATGCATAATAAGCTGTACCCCTGTTGCAACATAAAGACAGGCCTGTCAGTAATGTCATTTCATAATGTCACAACATATAGATGGGCCTGTTGACAGTAAGATGTATTGCTGTTGAAACATAAAGACAGGCCTGTCACTAGTATCATTTAATAGAGTCACAACATAAGGTCAGGCCCATCAGTAGTATTATGCAACATATGGACAGGCCCATCCACAGTAAGATGTACCTCTGACAAGACATAAAGACAGGCCCATCAGTAATCTCATCTATAGCATCACAACATATGGGCAGGCCCAGCCCCAGTAAGATGTGCCCTGTCGAAACATAAAGACAGGCCCATCACTAATATCATTTAATAGAGTTGCAACATATGGACAGGCCCTTCAGTAGTATTATTTATATCATCACAACATATGGGTGGGCCCAGCCCCAGTAAGATGTACCCTGTCAAAGCATAAAGATGGGGTAACCTACCAGGATGGGCCTGTCCATGTCTTACAGCAACTCAGTATACTTAATTGGTCATGGGCCCATCTAAATGTTTCAACATCCTTACCCACCATGGGCCCTCCCATATGTTGTGGTAATGCACTTACAGGCCTGTACATATGTTGCTCTCACTTTAGTCCCTTGGGCCTGTCCATGTGTACTGGCTAATCTATTTAGGTGGGCCCATCTTGGGGTCTATATAAGTGTTGGTGTTTTGGCACACAGGCTGCCCATGTGTTGTGACTAAATGTGACTACACTATGTGATCATCCAAGACATCTCTTATGGTTTTTGCTTTCCACAGATGATGAATAACAAACAGCACTCAGAGATCAGCACAAATGACAGTACTCTTTACACTGTATGGGGTATTCTTTTTGGCAGAACCTCTGGGCCATGTACACTGAGCACCCATGTCAACAACAATGGCATGATGACCATTAGTCATACTCAATACCTCTTTCCACATGTTGCCTCTATCACTCTGGCATGAGTGCAAGTTTGCCACAGGCTATACATTGTCATCTTTGACTAGGAGCATCACCAAACCTGTTGTGAAACTGCAGCCTATGTTTTTGTCAGGGTGCTCCCTGGTCATCAACATCCCTTGGACATTTGTGCAGAGGACAATCTCCAGGACATCATGAATGCAATCCTCATGTTTGTTTCTATTATGTTCCCTTCTGTGCAGTGCACTAACTATATGATAGCTTGGCTAGATGCTTTCCAACTATGGGGTGTGCTTCTGCACTGACAGATCAATCCTAACTGATGTCGGAATAACTGTGTTGGTGGATGGCTGATTTATGATACATGGTGTATGGGGCCTCTACAAAGATAACATGCATTTTCACAGTTTAATGAAAAAGGCTATAAATTCCATTGTATACATTCATAACTGGAGGCCAGTGAACTCCACCAAAGCATACATAGGAAATAGGAGAATGAATGGAATTTCAAATGTGTGGCTGTGGCTGTACTATTACCCACCTCATCTTGTGTTTTCTGCATTGTCTTCGGTATGCTGGGCATGGCATCTGCTATCACCAATCACTGTATGTATTACCTCCCTCCCTATACTTTGCATTTTCCATTTCTAACCTCTGTGGCCACCCCTTGAACCCCTTAACCATATGGTCCTATAAAGGACGATGATGGGGCAACAAGAACCCTCTCTACCTTCTTCCAGGTATGTTTCATTTACTGCCAGAACTGCATCACCACATCCTAGGCTACTGTAACATTCATGATATTGCCAAATTTGCAAGATCTTCAGCTACAGCTGCCATCCTTGCATACTGTTGCCTTGGATACCACCTCAGGATGAGGACAGCAGGGTTTTTCTCCAGCAGTGCCATCCTGCTAGGTATCCTGTGTGTCTGCAACACCATCATCTCTGGATCCTTGGCACTTCACATGGTCTTGCCTGCCAACAGCTGTGCTTGAACACCCTCAGACCTAGATATTTACATGCCCTTGTGCCACATGTGTTACTTGTCCATGAAGCTAGAATGCCAAGGTACATTTTTCTCATTTCCATCATGCATTAACATTCTCTGAGTGCCATCTTCCAGGTTACAATGTCATCCCCAAGAGTCATGTTGATGCCAGTCCTTACAACATGTCTGCCATTCGCAGTATTTTCATGTATGCCACTGGCACTCATTACATCGATGTCATTGTCTCCAAGACATTGACTGCTATCTCCCTGCAGTTTCAATTCCACAGCATGGCAGTGATGATTTTCATCAGTGCCAACATCATCTTTTGCATGTATCCCAACCTGAGGTTCCAATGCTGTGTGCTGCTCTATCAGCTTCAAAACCATGGTGGCCCTGCAGAAATATGGCACACATGGTTTTGAGTTTGGCAGCTGTGAAGAGTATCATCATTTGCCTTACAGTTGCAGGTGTATGCCCCACAATTTGACCAACAGCAGCTGTCTATGGCTTCAGATGTCTGATCTCCATCATGATGTTGTGAAGCCCACTGACATCCTCAGGTGCTTGATGGTCATCAATGTCATGTGGTTACTGGGTGGGTACATATGTGGTGCATATCCTGCCTTTCTGGATGGCTATTCATTCCTGTTCAACAATGACATGTGAGTACCTGATACTGACATTGCTGTGCATGCACTCATTATCTGAAGGGATCTTCTCTCTGATCAATGCTTCATCAGAAGTGAGGAAACCTAGAAGATGGCCACCTAAGGCTCTGAAGAATAATATCACATTGTTGATGATTTGTTTGCATATAATGGGGGGATGGAGTCGAGGTGAGGACAGCAGACAGGGTGTGTTTAGAGCATGGGTGGTGATGCCAACATGGTGTGAAAGGGGCATGACCTCCAACAGCACTGCAATGGAAATGTTAGACCAGTACAAATATTGATTGCTAGCCATAAATTATGGGATTCAATGACATGTCTGTAAACAAGGTGCCTGCCATCCCTGATGGCCCTATCATCTAGTGTTCAATTGAATGTAAAATATGCCACATACTGCCAATTTCTGCATGTGCAACTTTCAGGGCAGGCATACTGTTCACATGAGGCAGATTCATAAACAATGCATCTGTGGTCACTATCACTGTGTAGTGGCAGTGAATTTGATGACTGAACCAGGGATGGAGTTCATGGCCAATCAATGTCAGGTGTCTGAGGACAGGATGGCAAGGTGCCAGAAGAGGGTGCATGGGAGGGAGAGGGAGGAGGAGTGGAAGGCACATACATATCAAAGTAAATGGAGCACAGTTGGGCACAGTTATGCTGGGGATGGGTGGGGTGGAGATGGAGGACAACAGAGCAGATTATATACATGTTGAGGGAATGTGTGAGAAAAAATCTACATTGAGTAGAAGTCATTCAGTTTCTTGTGCCAACAATCCATTAAGCCATGAATGACAGTTGTCACAAAATCCATGGGCTCAATGCAATCTGGCACAAGCATCACTTAGTACTAAATCCATTTGAATGATGTAGTCTGCCACAAGAGTGACTTACCTGCAAATGTGCACACTCAGTCTAGTATGCATTATGGAAGAGTTACAACAATTCAAAAGCATAGAAGTTAGCTGTAATAGGGTACAAAGTGGAGCATGTGGCAGTCATACCATTTGAGTTAGTACAATGTCTCAAAGTTGGGGAAGTTCCCCATCTTCAGGAATGTATATGTAAATATGTGACATCCTGTCATTAAATTTAGACAATGTACAGAGTGTAGCTTCACCTGAGTTCTGAACTGGCACCATGTATGGTTTCCAATCATTGATGCAGCCATCATAATTCTAGATCTTTCCATCCACTGAGACTCTGATGCAAAATTGATAATCACCCAAGTACAGTTTTGCAACAAGGTTGTAACACACACTTCCATGTCTATGAACTGTGGGAATAGTGATGAGTTTATTAGGTGTAATGGGGAACAATGGGACATACTCAAAGAACAGGATAGGTGGGACAGTGTTCATGCACACACACTCAGATATTGTGCCATTACAGGATGAAGATAGGTGTATATCAGACTTGGCAGATGTGTGATGAATTCCATAATTATGTGCCCACTGATCCAACCAATCCTGCAACATGATCTTTTGATGTTGAGAGTCTTGTTTACCATTCCAGTTCAATGATGAGCATATCATGGGCAATTCAGCATACTGATCATCATTTTGGGGAGATTCCTGTCTGCACTTGATCAAGAATGCTGAATTGATATTAGTTGGGTGGATGAAGGAAAAATTCTGTCAAGAATAGACATAACACTGGTTGCAATCTGTCCTCTCCAAGGGAAAGTCCATGGGTCTTGGTCACTGAGTCTATCACAAAATTCATCACAACAACCATCAAATATTTCTGGAGAGCCCAAGTTGGTATCATCAGCAAGTATACACTTGAAGAGGTCAAAGAGTAACCTTGCATCTTCACTGCAAAACTTCCAGTGGTCTTTGTGTGGGTAAGCTTTCCCCTGATACAGGTAGAAAGGAGCTATAAACACAGAGTCATATGTGCATGACCAATCAGTAGAAGACCATGTACATCCAACAGTGGGTGCCAAAATTGTTCCTTCAAAATCAATGAGCCTCAAATTTCTGAGAATGTCCAAGAACTGTTTACTTCCCCAGAGTCTGGCATGTTTTTTTGGGCAGAAAACATTTGTGTCTTCAATGATCAGAATCTCCTCAGCATGTTGTGGAGATTGTGGTTCAAGAATTACTTTTCTCTTCATACTGATCAGATGATGCAAGTGGCTGGAGAGTTTGCATTCTCCTTCAGGTTTCATTTTCAACTTTTGAAGGTACCTGTGTTCAGCCTCTGGATCTGGGACAGTTATTTCAGTACCACAACATAAACCATGTTGGACATATGTGTAGTGTTCTAATGCATTAAACCAGCAAACTTTGATGTACAAATCAGCCAGAATAGGTTTTTTGAGTTGCTCAAGAGTGACTGGCTTCATTAAAAAGAGTCCACCACAAGTTCTGGATCTGGAAGCAGCAACATAAGGAGCAAAGCCACCTTCAGATAGATCCACCAATACCTTTGGCAACATTTTTCCCTGTGTGGAATGTCCAGTGATTGGAAATGCTGGTTGGATAGGAAGCTGGAATCATGTGATACAGAGTTTCTCTTTGGATCCATCCTGCAGCTTCAAAGAGGTGGTGAAGGACCACTTGACAGGTGTAACAATGATGTAGGAAGGTGGAAGGCCTGTCAGTTCAATTTTGCTATGTGGAAGTTCAACATAAACACTCACAGTGTCAGAGTCACACAACACCCCTGACCTCCTCTTAGGGTGGAGTAGGAGTGGGTTGGGCTGCAGAGTACAGTTGTCAAAGTCCAAAGTGAATCTGACCACTGGGTGGCAAGATATTGATATTCAATGAACAGTGAGTGGAGGGGTATGGAGGAAAGTTTCAGAGGCAGAGGTTGGAGTCAGAGGTCAGATGAGAGGGTGTTGGGTTCAGCTAGTGTGCTGCCCCCTTGTGTGAGCTCAGCCCTCATATTTCAGAGGTGGAGCAGACTCAGAGGGAGTGGAGATGAAACCCTGGAGGGAACTGAGAGGGAGTCAAAGGTGGGGACTTTATTCAATATTTGTACCAATTACATCAGAGTACTACATGGCCTTATATATGACATAGGTCAAGGGCAGTGCAGTGTAAAATGCAAACCAATAAGCATATAACAGGTTAGCAGTCCCTCTGACACAAGGGATAGAGGGTAGGCATGACAGGGACCTTAAATGAGACAAGGAAACTACTACAACAAGGGAGAGAGGGTAAATACCAAAGGAGTGGAAGAATGGAGAAAAAACCAACACAAGGGCAGAACCCTATCTGGGATACAGGGCTGCAAGTCCAACAGCCCACTGGGCTGACCAAGGCCTCAGAGGAGGTACAGACAAAGGTCTGGCCTCCATGTGACCAGCCTGAGGGCAGAATTGAGCAGAGTTGGTCGGAACATGGACAGGGGACTTTGGAGAGGTATTGGGAGGGTTGGAGGAGTGCAGGAATGTGTTGGAAGAGGGCAGAGACATGTGGGAACATGTCAGAAGAGGGCAGAGTAGGTGTTAGGGACTTATGTTGGTGTCATGGTCATGACACACAGCATAGCTGAGACCAAGTGGACATTTGTCATATCCATGACTCTCACAAATCCCAGTCCAGTTCAGACCCTTGGCCCCTATCTCCAGTCAAGTCTGGTCCTGGTCTGGCCTAAAAAACCCAACTCTGGCCCTAAGAAACCCAACACCAGCCTAGATATCTCAAGTCCAGTATTTTACCCCTATCTCCAGTCCACTCCAGCCTCCCAGGCATGTGCTGCTCCACACAAGTCCTCCCAGGTCCATGTCTGGGTCACCCAGACATAACTCTGGTCTGTTTTCCATTGTTTGTACTATATTTAGTCTAGTCCTTTCATCTGACTTTTGCTTAGTGTACAAACCTGTGTCCAACTCTGGTTATGCCAGTCACCCAGACTTTAACTATTAGTCTTGGCACAGCTTCTGTGGCTATCCACACCTAATAGCTTATTAACAAGTCCAGCTCTATGTTCATTACCCCAGACTGGCCTCATGTATTTAATCTCTGTACATACTTCATAGCACCTCAGTCAGAATATCAACTTAGTATTACCCTCAAGTCTGTAATACCCCTTGAGTCTACTCTATAGCTAAGGCCAAGCCTTAAGCTATCCCTGGCCCCTGCCCTGGACCTCTCCCCAGCTTGCATAAGGGTACAGCACATAAGCTGAGACCAAGGGAGGTAGATCCAACCCTGGACTGGCTTCCCCTGTGCATGCTCCAAGACCAGCCAGTTTCCCACACTACCAGCCTTATTCCTGCACTCCCAGTCTTAAGTCTGGTCCTACAGACTTAACCCCTGACCTCCAGCCTTAACTCCAGTCCAACCAGACCTGGCCCCTGTCTCCTGGCCTTGACTCTGGCCACCTGGACTTAGCTCCTGTCACCCAGTCTTGAAGCCCAGTCACCTGAGGGTAAACCCATACTTAACAACATTCCTCATTGAATATATCCCACACAATCCCTTGTGAGCCATTGGTGATACCAAGATCCATTGATAGATTGCAGAGATGGAGAATGACAAGCATGCCAATGTAAAGAAGAATACACAAAGGCAATCAATTTTGGATTGAAGTCACATTGAGCAAGTGCAGTTGACAATGCTCCTCCAATGTTAGAGGCTTTTGGGTACACTTGTCCAATGATAGACATTCCACCAATTTGTTTGTGCCTGTCAACTGAGCCTTTTCATTATTAAGGAATTCTTGCACGTGGTTCATTGCAACAATTACTGAAGCATCAAGGTTTCCAGATCCAGCCATATCAATTCCATCAGGGTTCAAATGAGATTTTACCACACAAGAGTTGAATAAATCCATGTCTTCAAGTGTGCAATCATGAGTGCAGATGGCAGGCAGCCTCTCCATATTCAGGATCTGCTTTCATTGATTGCTGTTTGGTGAGGTTAACAACAGTGTTTACAGTCTTCCATGCCAAATGACCAAGATGCATTTGGATTTCCTTATTAGATGTACCAGCATATGGTGAGATCGGGGTATACAGTGGTGATCCACCCACTGGTGGATATTGAAAGAAATCACCAGAAAAAATAAGAGATACACCACTGAACCATACATCAGGCTTTTCTTTTGCAAAGCATAGGCCATGGTCAATGTCAGCAAGCAGTTCAAGGCTGAGTAAGGATGTCTCATCTAGCAAAATGTATTTGACATTTTTCCACTCCTCATGGAGTCGCAATCACTCTTTGATCGTGGTAAGGACAGTGTAATCCTCTGTACCCTCACCATGCAGTCTATTTCCTTTGCCCTTGCATGTCAATTTGATTCTTATACCCAGTGCTTTGTGGACAGTCATTCCATCTATCAGTGAAGCTGCAGAGCCTGTTGGAGCTAAGAAACAAATCAAGTGACCACAGCAGTAGTAATCCATGACATGCTGAACAGCTTTCACAACATGCATTTTACCTGTCCCTCCTGGCCCTGTCATCTGCATGGACAATTGCTGTTGGGACTTTAACTGCTTAACATGTGCTTGGATAAAATGATCTGCAATTATTTGGAAGGAAAGCCACTGTTTTTTGTTCAACTGAAACTGTTTTGCTATCTTCTCCAACAGATCACTTGGCTCAAGAAAAGGGGCAGAACTCTGACATATTTCATGCAGTGGATGAACTGCTGTCAGGGCCTCTATTGGCTTTATGGGCTGTTCTATTGATTGAGCACATGTGATTCAACTTGTGCTTTGGGGTTGAGCACATTCTGTTGTGCCATTGCTATGGGATGCTCCCACATTTCCACTTCCAATTTCCATATATCATGCTGGTTCTTTGTGAAAGTTGGCCAGGACTGCTCATGTTCACTACAAATTGAAGCTGTTGATGATGTAGTGTACTGGGATTTATCATGGCGCTGGGGCAGCCATTGAGCCTCTGCATATAATAGTATCATTTGAACAAGATGAAAGTCATTCATTTTTTTCTTGCCATCTTTTGATATAACATCCAGATCATCCATGTCTTCTGCCACAGGAATGGATCCATCCTTGTAAAGCTCATCAATTTTACTTGGAGTCATGTGCTGTGTTTGTTTGTGTAAGCATTTGGCACCATGTTTGTCTTCACATTCATGAACTGCATCCCAGTTGTCCATGATGGCATGACTTGTTTCTGAATAGACAAATGCTTCATGAACTGCCTCATGCATCTCATTTTGCAACAAGAGAGGGACATCACAGCTGAATGGTTTGAAGTGCATCAACATGAATAATGCCCATGCTTTCAGATTCAAGGAGCAAGGAATTGACATTCCAACAGCACATGGCACCAGCTCATGGGAAAGATTTCTGTGTGACTCATTGGTATGCTCTAGAAGCTCAAGAGTAGAATGTAAGGGATGTTTGGGTTTCAAGTCATGCTGATTAAGGACACCCAATTGTGTCTCACATGAGTTCTTTGTCCATTTACTTCTCAATTTTGTTTGCAGCTCAATGCACTGACTGAACTCAAGTGAGAAAGGGTGTCAGGACGATATAGATAATGATGGATTTGGTTCACTTCAACCAACTGCCCTTTGTTATTTGTTGAAATTTGGATCTGCTGGTGCCTGATTTCATCACCAATGCCCATTTCTGATGCCAAGTTATTTGAGACATGTTGTGGAAGCCAGTGATCTTTGATGCATCCAATTGCAAGGGAGGACATGAGTGGCACAGTTTTACAAGATGAAATGCTGTCATCAAATCCACATAGGTAACAAGCTGCTTGTTGAGTGTGAATCTGTTGCTGGTGACTGAACTGTGATAAACATTTGTGCAAAAGCACTCTCATGCCCTCTACCACAGTCTGGTTTTGTGAATTAGGTGGGATATGAGCGACTGCTTGGGATAGAAGAGAGAGAATTTCATAAGTTTTTGCCCCCATTTTAGTAATGTAATTTGCAATGTAGAACATTGCAGCCTTTGCACTCTTACCTGAAAGAATGCATTTTGGATCATGATTGTGGCAACAAAATACAAGAATGTAAGGATTGAAGTAGTTGACATTGCCATCTCTGCACCTGAGAACAACAGAGTTCATGTCTGGGTTGAAGTGAGAGGCACCAACTATCTCATGTGGAAATAGAAAATGACATCATCCTCTGTTTCTATACTTATGGCAGACAGGTTGACATTGATGTCACTGAAGAACCTCACCACATTTTTTGATTTCAGTGACAAAGACAGACTGCCATTCATTGAACACACCAATTGCATCACATGTAGCAGGTGGTTGATGTGGGTGCTCAATACAAGGTTCAAACTTCTGATCAATTGGAATTTCAATATCTGGGTAGGTGATGGCAGATGATATCATCGAAAAATGCGAAGAATTTCTTCTGGAAAACATGGTCATGGAGCTGCCAATGAATAACAGAAGGATTGGCACCACCTTGAAGCCAAAGGAGAAAGTGTCCATGGAGAGAACCACACTCTGTGTACCCACAAGTGCCATAGAATGCATGCAGACATCTGAACAAACCACCTGCTGGAGAGGAACACTTCTTCTTGTAATCCCAGCCAAGCAGGTATTCAAAACAGCAACATACTGAGAGCTCAAATGTTACCACCTTGTCAGGGGTCTTTCCTTTTTCATCTTTCCTTAGTCACATGGGTCACATGCCTCATCATGTCACTCATACTTGTCATCATTCTCAGTATGGCCACTCTCCATGGACAGCTCAGATCACTGGCAATGCAGGTATGTCCAACTGCAGATGATGCTGTGCAGGTTGCTATGACACAGGTGTCCTGCCCCCATCTCTGATGGACTATGATACATCCCCAGTTTTTCAATACTTTGCAACTCAGCTTATTCTTTGGCCTCTTCCTTGTTCCTTCCCTGTCACAATTCCACAAGACCTCACCAATGGAAGCAACCTCTGTTGGAATTCACCACCACAGGTTGAGCCATAGGGGTTACAACAAGTTCACCCCATAATGTCCCCTTGTGCCATTCAAGACTAGTCCATTTGGTGAAGTCACTACTGGAGTTGCTGGCACTCCATTAAAGCACATATTGCTGTTGGCAGTTGAACAAACCTGAACATAAAATCAGAAGAGTGCTTGCCTTGAGTGATGAAAACTTTACCTGAGGTGATGTGGTGTTGTCAGAATCCAAAAGACTATGAATAGTGCAGGTAGCCATGTGGACCATTCCCATGACTGACATAGGCAGAATCAATCCAGAATTGCTTGCCATGGAATAGTGTTTGTGATGCCAAATTGATCTGGGTCCTGGTTGTGGTCAGCTAGCCTAGTGGAATGCTGTCTCTCTGGCAGTTCTTGGAGGCAACTTGTATGAGGTGGGGGATCAGGCACCTGCAGACATTGACATACAAAAATTCATACAGAAAATAAAATGCACCACATGTGCCACTTCCAAGCCAGCATCCTTATTGGCATTCAGGGACTTAGGAAGGTGATACCCACTTGTCCATTGCTTTTGGGGGCCACACTTTGTCCTTACAGGCACTGGTTCTTTGACTACTTCACATTCAGATCCAGGTGATACATCTTGCTGATGCCCCCCCACTGGTTCTGGGACTCTGTGCTGATCCAGCTAATGAGGATTTATCTGGAGGCTCTTCAGCACCTGGTGTCTGACCCCATGCAGAGTGAGTAAATGTTCATGGTAGTGCAATTGAAAACATACCATGCCCACATATTCATGTGGTTCTTGTTCCATGGAAGTAGCATGGAACAGAGCTGCTCAGTGAGCAGAATAAATACCCAAATTCACATCCTGGGTCCAGTGGTCTCAACAGCCTCATGCCCTAAGAAACAAAGGCGATTCAAATGATCTAAACATTAGCTACCTTACTGACTTACTACTGTAGTCTCCTTCCTAGGTTAGCTGTGAATATAGACTTCTTCTAACTGAAGCCTGAGTCTCCTTCCTAGGTCCCTTGTCTCAGCCTACCTTCAAGAAGCTGGCCCAGGACATCACAGATCACTTGTAACAGCAGGCATCCCATATCACTGCATTCTTCCATGCCCTCACTGTCTGTCATATGGTGCTCACTGATAAGCCTGACCCTACAACAAAGCTGCACTACTTGGAATACAAGGTGGAGTCCCTGGATTAGTATGAGGAAGCAGATGAGTGTCATCATTCATGCTCCCGATGGCAGGATCATTCTGTACTGCAAGGGTGCTGACACCATCATCTACAAGCAGCTTTTGCCTGATGTCAATCCAGTGTTGAAGGAGAAAACAACCAAAGATGGGGACATGTTTGCAAATGGTGGTCTGAGGACAATGCAGAAGACGGTACTGGGTCGCTCAGAGGGATTATTATACTTATCATTACAATTATAACTACATTTTGACAAGAACTGACCCTAAAGTAAACTGAAGAGTCAAATGTACAAAGGTGGGAGGGTGCATGCATCTCAATCAAAGTTCCTGTGTTTAATTCCTAGATAGGCCATGCCAGAAAGGGTCAGTACCTAGTTTTCACCACCTTGCTGAGGATGTATTCTTCAGGAAAATAATGGAAAAATCTGCAGCAGGCCATGCATCTTGATACTGCTTCAATGAGGGGAAATTGTGCTGAACCTGAAGATATGTGGGTAGGCAGTATGCTGATACACAAGTGGCACATACCATAGTTTTGATTAACATGCATATGTCTTCAGGCTGCTCATGATATGGTTTTGACAGGTCACAGGATTCTCAACATATCTTTTGGACATCTTTTTTATTGGCACTTCAGTGAATTTCAGGGTGGAGTGCATGACAACTTACTTGGGCTGTGTGATACAAAGACTGGTCCCACTTTAAAACTTCTCTCAAAGAATAACCCCCAGCCCCAGGCTTTGAAAGCTGGTCATGTGGGCCAGGCATAAGTAACTGTGGTGATTTTGGCCCCACCTCAGCAACACCTGAGAGAGCCTGTAAGACTAGCACAATGGATATAGAAAATTCTCACCAAGTCTGTTGCCAGAATGTTTGGTAATAGAAATTGAGCTTGCACATTCTCTGGCAAGGGAAGTCCTTGGATGGGGGGAAGTAGGCTGGTTGGTGTTGTCATTCCCCTTTCTTTCATGCATGCAACAATTCATTGCATCAGTCAGGTCAGGACTCAGATGGCATTCAGGCATAAATCACACATGATTTGTAATTTGGGGGAAGTGGCAAGAGTAGTGAATGGTGACCAGAAGAGTCCCATGCACAGATGGCAGCAACAAAAGTGTCAAGGGATGACCACAGCAAATCATTTATATCGATACAAGCCAAGACAAAGCAGACACAGAAAGTAGAATCCCAATCACCATCCCAAGAAAGAAGTGATCAACACACTCACTGGGCCATTGGAATAGAGCTCAAAGCATGCCCTGTTTATGTAGTCACCATTAGATACCCATACTTTGATCACTGGATGCTCATCAGTTGGCTCAGAGGATGCACTAGCCAGTAGGCACTGTCATTCATTCATGGATGAATACATCTGGAAGGATATCCATGGTGCCAGTGAGATGCATCAATGTACCAGGATGAAACATACTGCAACCCCTTCAGGTAACCATTTTTCATAAGCATTTACACTGAATAGTTTCTCCAAACCATCCAGCCCAATAGCCTCCCAGACCAAGGTCTGCCCAGGGACATCTGGTCATGTCCCAGGGTTATGCAGATTTTTAGGCCCTGGGACAGATGGGATTTCCCACATAGCCATCCATTCAAATGCAATTATTTGGGATGTCCCAAGACTGCCTTGGGTGACTGGGGTCCCTACTCCAGAATGTGCAGCTTATATTAGCATTGAAATAGCTGCAGAAATCCTAGCCCCCTTGCTCCTCTGACAGATTTAATCCACAAAGTATCCTTTGACCTATACATCCCCTCCCATCCCACCATGCATAGTAGTATACAATAGTACTTTTCATGTACATCTTTGCAATGTGATTCTGCTGTATTGGGACATCTCACTTGTTGCCAGGGAGATGACCCACCTGGGCCTCCACATTTGCCTTGAAAATTGCAATAATAAATTCAATTAATTTGTGTCTATACCTCATGCAATTTGTACTGTATGAAGGAAGAAGTGAATGGTTTTTGAACACCTGTGTGACAAGCCAATATCTCAAAGTCCCCCACATAGAACATGGTGTTGGTCACCTTTGCAACACCATCTGCAGAGGGCAGAATGTCCCAGATGAGCCTCTGAGGTTGTCATGGGGCATTGTGCTGGTCTGCAAAGGTAACTTAGGAGGATGTGCCATCATAGCCCTCTGAGGCTGGGATGGGACATCCCACTGACTTTCATAAGGGGACTTTGGATGTCCCACAGCAGCCTCCAAGGCTACCTTGGGACATCCCACCCTCCCCCTTGCCAACCAGTGGGATGTCCCACAACAGCCTCTAAGGCTATGTTGGGATGTCCCACCCTCCCCTTTGCCAACCAGTGGGATGTCCCCCAACAGCCTCTAAGCCTACATTGGGACATCCCACCCTCCCCTTTGCCAACCAGTGGGATGTCCCACAACAACCTCTAAGGCTATATTGGGACATCCCACCATCCCCTCTGGCAACCAGAGGGATGTCCCAACACAACCTCTAAGGTGTTGAAGTAGTAATCTGCACTAATCCTACAAGCACCATAGAGAATCCAATGCAAGGTAGCTCCATGGTCAGAGCAGCTGCTTGACACTGAGAGGGTCCTGGCTCAATGCCAGCTCTGGTCACATTTTCATCAGGTTATGAGCTGCAGCTGGAACCCATGCATGCTCAGTACAATGGGTCATGCAGCATCCTTAGTAAGTCCAGATCATGTGAGTTACATGGACACAAGGTGGCTGATAGTAAGGCCTCCTGGAAACACAGCAGTAAATCCTGATCCATCACATGACACAAGGTCAAAAGGCAATCAGACCATTTGCATGACCCTAGGGGGTGTGCACTGTTTTTACACTCCAAAAGTGGCCAGATGAAGGGACCACATTGGAGATGGTGCATTCTGTGCATTAACTTCATGGAGATATGTTCCCACAGTGCTAGTCTAAGCCCCCAAGCTACTGACACTAGTACCCAGGCCATATGGCTCAGTGGTTGCAGCATCTGGTAAACACCTAGGAGGTCACTGGTTCAATCTTAGGACTGGTCACATTGTCCTCATAAGGCTACTTTGTGACATCCCTCCCCCCCTCTGGCAAGTAGTGGGATGTCCGATGACAGCCTCTAAGGCTACATTGGGACATCCCTCCCCCCCCTCTGGCAACCAGGGGGATGTCCCACAATAGCCTCTAAGGCTACATTGGGATGTCCCACAACAGCCTCTGAGGCTACATTGGGGCATCCCACCCTCCCCTTTTCCAACCAGTGGGATGTCCCACAACAGCCCCCACACCTACATTGGGACATCCCTCCCCACCATCTGGCCAGCAGTGGGATGTCCCACAGCAGCCTCTAAGGCTAAGTTGGGACATCCCACCCCCCTGTCTGGCTAGATGTCCCACACCACTCTCCACATAACACAAGGCCAAAATGCTATCAGACCATTTGCATGATCATAGGAGGCATGCACCCTTGTTGCACTCCAAAAATTCCCAGATTGAAGGACCATGTTGGAAATGGTGTATTCTGTGCATTGCACTCCACATAGCTTTGTTCCCACATCACTGGCCCATGCCCCATGCTACTGATGCTATCACCTAGACAATATACACAGCTGAGCAGTCAGAGCACCTGGTTAACACCTAAGAGGTTGCTTCAATCCCAGCTCTGGTCACATTTCCATCATAAGGCTACATTGGGACATCCCACCCCCCCCCCCTCCAGCAGCCAGTGGGATGTCCCACAACAGCCTCTCAGGCTATGTTGGGACATCCCATCCACCTTCCAGAAACCAGTGGGATGTCCCACAACAGCCTTTCAGCCTACATTGGGACATCCCAACCCCCATTCCAGAAACCAGTGGGATGTCCCACAGCAGCCTTTCAGGCTATGTTGGGACATCCCATCCCCCCTTCCAGAAACCAGTGGGATGTCCCACAGCAGCCTTTCAGGCTATGTTGGGACATCCCATCTCCCCCTCTGGATACCAGTGAGATGTTATACAAATGCCACAGAGGCAAATGTTGGACATCCTACCCTGTATCTCTGACATCCACATTGCCCTCTGCCCACAATTGGGATATATATTGTCACATTGTAATAGGCTCAATCAATGGTACCAATCAGTTCAAGTCAGATAACCATGATTTTTGGAGATTCAGAATCAGGGCAATAAGACACAGGTCTGCCTTGCAGATGTCTATTACACATATAACCAAGATTTTGAGCCCATTATTGCATAATTCTTCACACAAGATTCATATCCTTTGAGCCCTGTGTAATTTCTAGAGAACAGTACCAAAAAGATATGTGCAGAGATGAAAAGTCAGTGACCAGATGAGCAGTGAGCAGTGAATAACTGCATTTGAGTCAGTGTAGCCATATGCATGAGTAGTTGCCAACATAATCAGGTTCACTCAATGCTGTGCTCCAAATGTCCCATACATATCATTGCTTGAAATAGTCATGGCACCCAAAGAATGCTATTCAAATTGTATCCAGCAATCATACTCCACAGGTCTCAAGTGTTGTATTATTTCTCAGTCTCATGTCCTTCTACTATGATTTTATTTGAAGCAAGTCTTGAGATGTGAAGAAAGGGGACACAGGTAGGGGGTAGCACATGATTGGTAAGTAGCCACCAAGTGTAGATAAGACAATACTAGGTGTAGAACTTCAGATCACAACAACACACTGCATAATTGCATATATTTTTGGTACTGTTCTCTAGATGATACACAGGCATCCAAGGATATGAATCTTGTGTGAAGAAATATGCAATAATAGGCTTCCAATCTTACTTATATGTGCAATGAACATCTGGAAGCAGAGGGCTCTCTACTGCCCAAAAAAACATTGAATGCCTGCTGGACAATTGATGTATAGAAGACCACTATTGGTTTGCTAAGGTGTACAGATGCCTAGATCACTTGCAATTTTGATGGTATATGTGAAATCAGCCTATGCTTTTTCAGACTTATATAGTGCTAGAACTAGTCTAATTTTTACACCAGGACCTACATCTAATTTCCCTGATTCTGAATCTGCAAAAATTGCGGTGATCTGACTTGAATTGATTGAGATATCAAAGTTATAACATTTAGCTACTACATGTGTGTGATTTTGTTTATTTGGCCTTGCTCTCAGTTTTGATAATAGCTGTAACATGAGGAGCAACAAGGCACAAACACAGTAGCTAGGACTGCAGGAATTGTATATACAGATTGAGGCATCATGTACAGTGCCTAACAGCAATGGACATGTGATGGACATTAGTACCATATGTGATTTGTCCCTGGACTGCCCCTAACAAAGAGTTGATAAGTGGCTGGTACTGAAATGTAACAGTAATGGCTGGGGTGACTGACATGAAACTATGGGATGTGGTAGAGGACTCCCAGGAAATCAGGGAGAAAGAGGGAAAATGCTGATTGGATCACCCAATCCTGAGGTATATGCTAAACCACCTCGAAACCCTTCAAACACAAAAGCAGGAATATCTCAACAATGAGCAAGCAGAATTGGGTAAACAAGGGCACCCTGGACATGGGTCAGTGAGAGGGATTTGTGGCTCGAAATGTGAGAGAAGCAGTGTGGATATGCATGAGGTATGATGAGAGGACCTCAAGGGGTGGGCCTTGCCACAAAAACATGAACATCTCTGTAACTACTGCACCAATCACAATGATCTAGACATCTCCAGGGAGTTGTCGTCTAGTAGTGCGAGTCTGCAAAAAAGTGAGAGATGTGTCAGAGAAACCACTGAGATACAGCCCCAAGATGATAGGGGTAACTCAGGGCAAGTGAACAAGCAGGTGATGACCTCAGGACAACAGCTGGGGTGATCAACACAGGCCTCAGGACGGTGGTCAGGTACTCATAGATAAACATGGAAAAAAAGGAGCCACCATGATTGGACCATTGGATCCTGAGCTATGCATGAAACTGTCTCACTGCCCTCTGAACACAACAATGGTGATATCTCAATAGTGGCTCATGGAATTAGACAAAAGAGGCCCCCCCAGAGAGGTCTCAGCAAGGGGAACAAGTGGTGTGAAAAGAAATAGGAAAGGCACAGGACTGAGTGGAGAGCCACAGACTTGTCCCCCAAATCTGATGGTAACATCATCACTGACACCAGCAACATCAATATACAAGTGGTGCATGACAAATATGTTGTAGGGGAAGCAAAAACTACACTAGTAGTAATCTTCATTTATATACTCCTCAGCAAAGTCATCCTCATATTGTGCAGCATTACCCCTATTAACCCAATGAGGTTCACCCAACTGGGTTGGAGGGTAGTAGTCATCAGTATATGGACTGTTGTAGTAAGGATGGTTAGTTCAAGATGGAATGTGATGGAATCCTTGGCAAGACAGAGGAAATTGATTGCAGTGGCCAGAAGGTAACACCTAGAGAGAATGCAAGTTGATGGTGAAACCTCTGCAAAATTGAATTACTCCCATGATATGGGATATTAGATGGGCCAGGATCACAATAGTTCATACAGTCACCCCAAGAATCCTACATAATTTTTCCTTAGTCTTGTTACCAAAGGTCAGAGACCTGGATACTCACTTGTCATCTGGGAGAAGACTGCTGGGCTGGGCTGGCCTCTTGCATGTGAGGACAGCTTAGAAGATTATCCTGATGTAGATCCTATACAACACTTCATTAGTCTTGTTATCAGACCATAGGAACCACACCCTACCCCATATCACAGAGCCAGTGCAGGAGGCTTGGATGGGCCAGGTTCTCAAGTATGCACATTGCTTGGAATTGTGGACAGGTCATGACACAAATCTTGTGCAATGGGGCACACATCCTGGTGTTGATCACATGGCACAATTCAATGGTCAGACTGTAAAGCCTTGCAAACATCAGCAGATACTGGATATTGAGTAAAGAGCAGAACTTACCTGGGGTTGCTTCCAAGAGGGAAAAGGGAGTTGTTGCTGTGGTCAGGGTTGTGGCTGTCAAAGGACCTCTGTGCCTTGCTGCTGGTGATCTGTTTCCTTGAGGGGCTTCTGCCACTCTGGATCATCTGAGATCTGCCAAAAACCAGTACCATTGGTAGCTTTGACAAGTGCAATATTGCCCTTCAAAGGGTCAGTGTCCAAAAGATTGATGACCTCTACACAGAACTTCAGCATCCAACTGGATGAATAAAATAGGGAATACCTTCATTCCAGCACTTAATCTCAATTTCCAGCACATCATCCAGACTATCTTGTTCTTCCTCATCATTGGTTTGCATGTCATACAAAAGACCCAGTTTTCTCTGAAGGTTAGTTACTACATGTTGACAAAGAGGGCCAGCCTTAGGTTTCTTGTACTCAAAACCAGGGCATGGTGGAGATACATCATGGGGCCAGTTGACAATAGTGAGGTGGCTCTTCCACAAAAACCTGAGAAGCCATTGCCAGGAAACTTTCTGGGGATCACTGACTTCAATGCCACATGTGACTGAGCAAAGGATCAAGATAAATGTACATACAGCACAAGAATAACTTACTGCGCAGATCTCTCAATGCAGCCAACATCTTCTCCTTCATCATGCTTCTGAATACTCTGCAGTTGCAGTCTCTTGGAGTCTCCTTTGTACAGCAACATAGTTCCAGCACAGAACCCACATCTCCAATGGAACTGGTGCCAGCCACCCTAGCATCTGCACTGTCACCATTCCTGAGACACCTACAACAATCCAATGAGGTCAAATGAAACATGCAAGAAATAAACTTACTTGAAAATCATGGTATACTTATCCATGAGTGACTGGACATCAATGCCATTTTCTTTGATGAAGTTTCTTATTGTCTCAGAGCCTCCAAATATGCTAGAAGTTTGATGTCCTGCAGGATCCTGTCCAACATACATTACCACTCCAACTATCTCAATATCCTCAAGATTGGACCATGCCTCTGCCTGTGGAATGATCAGAATTGATGGCTGCACAGTTGCAACCACATACCAATCCAGAAAATTGTGTCTTTGCACTGTCCACTCTGGCTGCAATAGATTTGACAGATTGGTTAGTCAGTATGGCAGAGGAGCTCTCACTCCACTCATAGACAGCTTTTAACTTTTCCCTCCTTGCTGCAAAGTCATCCTTGGGGATGCCTATCATGAGGGTGTTGTACTCCTTCATAATCAAATTGTTGATTGAATTTTAATTGGCTGGTCAGGATGTTAGAATGGTAGATGTGAGAGGGAGGAAAGCCATACCACCATCTGGTTTGGGCTGCATGGCCCAATACCACAAGTGGAAGAAGTTGGCCTCATTAATTTTGGTATGAGAAGCCTTAACACTAAATGCTGCAGTGGCGAGTATGTCGCATGTAGACTGCCCATGCTGTTGGCCAAGTTCTTCTGCCATCATCTTGATGTCCTTTGCAAATGCACATATTTTGTCTAATGCTGCTGTGGACAGATTCCCTGGCTGCTTGAGGTTCAGGAGTTGTGTGTCACAGTCACTGTGGTTTGCAGCATCAATGTCCTTGGCATCTATAGCCCTACCTTTTCCCTTCATCTGAAGTCTAGTATAGATTGGGCCACCTTCTTGGTGAGGATGGACAATGTCCCCTACAGGATGGGTGGAGTCATCAGACTTGTATGTGGGTGGCAAGGATGGGAGAAGTGGGGACTGGGCACAAGAAATGGTCTGAGCATTGCAAGTGTGTGCATCATCATCATCTAGGAGTCAACATGTCAACATGAGGCAGATGCATATATAGATGGTAACAGAACAGGATCACAACAATTTTTTATCTATATAACAACCAAGGGAATGATGGGCAGCAGGAAACAGTCATGAGTATCCAAAGCACCAAGCTTTGAAACACAAGTGGGCACCAAGCCCACCATCACATGACCAGAGAGGCACCAAACCCCAAAATCAAAAGATGTGAGAATTATCTGAAAAAAATGTGAGAGAACAAGGATACAAAATGGAAAAACATACCATGGGAGTCACTCAAGGTCTCTGTCTCCTTGTCATCATTCTCATTCTCATTGTAATTGGAACCCTTGTTGTCATCATTGCTACTGGGCAGCCAGTCATCCTCTTTCTCACTACCAGATGGCAGGTCATCCTCATTCTTGCTACTGGAGAGCTGATCATCCTCATTCTTGTTACTGGAAGGCTGGTCATCCTTGTGTTTGTTGTTGTTGGGATTCTCCTCCACCTCCTCCATTGCAGAGTCCTCATCATGGATTTGGTCATCCAGGCACAGGGAAGGGGAAGGGAGCATTGGGGTGTTTGTGATGGAAGGACAAGGTATCAAGGAGCATCTTCTATCTCTCAGGCCAAACATGTGCTCTTCTCAGCCTTTGGGAGGCTGGACTGTGTGCCACAGTTTTGGTTTGCCAATCATATCTTTCAGAGTAGATTGCCATGAGCAGAAAGTGATGTTAGAGTAATGGATGAGAAATATACTACAAGGCATACCTCTGAGTGTTGCACTCCATTGTTAGAGACAACAGCACCACCTTTTTTTACTCATTTGGAAACCAGGGCATTTTGTGAGGACAGAATCCTTTTGTTGTGAAGAACATGAGTGTTCATGTCAGCAATGGAGTCCCTTGAAGGCTCCAGGATATCAGCAGAGTGGGGCATGGTTGTATGGGGGTGTTGAGAAATGGTGGGAGGCAAGGCGAGTATTTAAGGTCAGAGCACATCAAGCCAAGATGAACCACATGGGAAAAAAAATCTGTCTAGAACATGTTGTCTCAGCATGCAAAGTTCTGGATATAGCATCAGCAAGGACATATGAAACCACAAAAAGAGGACACAATGTAAGGGGGATGAAGGAAAAGCATGCAGGAGAGAAGTGGTTGTAATGTGTAGTGAGGATGACACACCTATTAAAATGGAAACATATGGGTGGAATTCCAATCGAAATCCAGAACAGCAGTATTCTGTCTGCGCAACCCAGAAAGTGGGTTTCCTCAGGACTGAAAAACCACAAGAGTTCATCAGTATCCAGTAATAGAGAAAGGAATGGGCTTACTAGACAGAAAATGAATCATTCAAGCCCCTAAGGGTGGTCACTGACAAGAGCAGGGTCAATGCAGTCTGATAGACACAGTCCCTTTCACACAATCAATAGCCAAATTGACCAAATAATGTAGACCAAACATTGGAGGTATGACAACCTTTGGGCAAAGTTGTTGCTGAAATGAATCTCCAGTACTGAGTGACAATGGTCATTGTCATCTGTGCAATTGATCACCAGATTGACACCAAGACCACCCTTGAAGGCTCCAAGCCTTCAGGGGCTGTCAAGGGCACCAAGCCCATGACATTTAGCAGAGAGACACTCCAAGCATTCTGCTGCTAAATGGTAGAGCTTGAATGGTAGAAATTTACAAAGGATGGAAAGTGCCAAGTTGTGACTTGCCTCACAGTCAGGCTGCCATACACAATATGTGGCCTGAGGATTTATACTTCATAGTAATTAATTGGAGACCACCATGAGAAATACTTGCCAACAGATAATACAATAGCTGTTAGTCTTTACATGGATATGGTAAAAGAAATTCTGGTTGGAGTATGCATGCAGTCATCCACTAGATATGGAACCCTTGCTTCATGATCTGGGTGGCTGCAGACAAGAATAGTGGAGGGATCAGTCAAGGTAGGTGGCATTAGATGTATTGATACTGGTGGTGCAGGAAATTCCGCATAAATGGGGATCAAAGGGGATAAGGTGGCAGGTGTACACTCTTCACAGGACAACCATCCTGAAACCCCCAGACTCAATGGGCATAATGCCACCATGGGGTATGTGGGTTGTGAGCCAGATGACCCTGTGAAGGCTGCAATATGATCAGTCCAGAAGTGTCACTTAAGAACATACTCACCTTCAGTGTGAGATCTTAGTAACAAAGCACTTGCTAGCATTTCAGTGTCTGCTGCATTCAATTCGAGGTTTCCAATCAGAGTAATTAGAGCACCTGTGCCAAAATGCATTAGTTGTCAGGAGTTAGTCAGAAAAACATGTACTAAGGTTGCTAGAGCTTATATCCAATCCAGTACTGGGCGAAGGTATTTTGGACATGGTGGGTCAGGGAATGGGAAGGAAAGGCTGGAGAGTGAATGCCAGAGAATTGTAAGTATGATGGTGGATCTCCAGCAGAAGGCTACCTCATTCCCTTTCCCCATTTGTCAGAAGCCATTGTGGGAAAACCAGAAGTTTGACCATGACAAATTGTTCACTTAGATGTGATGTAACTCTTCGTAATACCCTGGAGGAAGTAGCAGAAATTGATGGATAAGATACACTGAAAAGCTAACCATGTACCCATGTTAGAACTTTGCATGGTTGATCATGAGGCAACCTGGAGAAAATTTGTAGTAGAAAGGAGAACTTGAGATCAACAATCAGAATTACTGCCCTTGAAGGTAACATTGCACCAAGTCTCCAATACCATAGAGGAACATGCCATGTATTCAATCAGCAGGGATAGATATGAATGGATGTGTTGCTAACTTGAATCTTTGGGACTAAAAGGCAAGGGGAGAACTGCACTATTGTCTATGTGATCAATCACTGAATCTGTACCAAGGGTAGATGAGTGGGGAGACAAGGGCATTGCTATAGATGGCATGTACTGGCCAGGCAGAATGATGGAGTGCAGCTGGAGGTGGGGAGAATGATGGACCTAGTACATGTAGTATGTGCTGGTAAATGGGTCAGTAGACTGTGAAGCATGATGATGCATAACTTAAGTCAAAAGCACTGACCTGCAAAACCTTCATTAATGATGCTGAAAGATGAGGGTCAGTCTTGACTGTCATCATGCAATTGACCATTGGATCCACTGGACACCAAGACTGCCCTTGAAGGCTCCAGGCCTTCAAGGCTGTCAAGGGCACCAAACCCCTGACATATGGTAGAGGAACAAACCAAGTGTTCCCCCAATACCATGCAGACAGTGTACAGAAGATGAGAGTGTCACTAAGTACTAGCTGTGGGTGGTGCAAATGTTTGTTTTGGCTGTGATGATGTAACAATTGTGCAATTGTGAAATGACATGTTAAAATTCTGTCATTCATCAAAACTTTAGTCACATCAGTAAAAGTAGCCAAATCTATTAACAAAGTAGCAACAGTGCACTAGTACTTGTAACTAGGACTTGCTATAAGTAGCTTATCAACATGTCATTACTGTAATGCACGAACATGTCTCCTGTGAATATTACAGTAGGCAGTCCAGAACATTGAGGAATGAAATACAGAACACAAAACTTATATCTAATCACCTGATTATTTGACAATTTAGAGCCTAGACTCAATTTCTTCCTCGAGCATGCTGTAAGTCAGGCATCACATTCATTTGTGGTGCAGGTCATGTGCACAGCAGTACCTGTAATATTTCTCACTACTACTAGTAAGTGCTACCTACTACTTCAAGTCACCAACACCCCTCCATATAAACCAATTCAGTGCAAGGTAAGTTTCCCTCTATCTTTTCCATCTTACTTTTCCAGACAGCCTGGTCACTCTTTCCATGAACATTTGGAGCATTTGTCTGTCAGGTCTTGGGGGCTTGGTGCCCATGAGTTCTTGATAGGCTTTGGGCCTATCAAGAGTTTTCCTCATGGGATCTGGGGCATTTCTTCATTGAAATTCAGGTGTTAACATAGTCTATATGCATGCAGAGTCAATACACTAATCATTGTCACTTCTTTGTCAAGAAGATGTTTTTTGAAAGTAAGTTTGTATTCTCTTTCATTCATACTTTTCTTTCAAACATCTGGTCAACTTATGCTGTACTCAGAGCCAAACATTTGGAGCATTTGTCTGCCAAGTGCTCTGGGGTTTGGTGCCTTGCAAGTTCTCAATAGGCTTGGGGCATATTGAGGGCAACATTCTCATTTCATTTCAGTTACACTGGCCTTAATGCTACATGATTCATTTTTTTCTCCCCTTGTCATCATCTCCATCAATTTAAGTAAGTACTGACTGACTTCTTTTGTTTCCAAGATGAATGTAGCTAGCATTCGCCCTTATGAATTATCATTGCACAACCACCCTGGCAATGGTGCATTCTTGCTGTCCCTAACTCAGCTCAAATTGATTATCATTATTTTCAGGGAGATAGGGTGCATTTGATGTGTGCATCCTAGTGAAGTGTGATGACCACTGGATCACATTGCTGAATGCTGACTATGTTCCCCAACCCTTCATCCTCAATGGAGAAACAATCATGCCCCTATGCAATGGATGGTTCAGCCATATAGACTGTTTTCAATGGACACAGTTGTTTGCAGAACACTACACATGGAGTCCATGTGTCCCTTGGAAAGTGGCCTATGGAGATGACCCAACATGGAAGTGGCTGTGGTGGAATGTTACCCAGTCAGCAGAGGATTTTGTGCTGGAAAGAGGGTCTGCCTTCAAAGTTGGCAGGATTCATGCTTACAAGTGGAAGTCAATGGAGACCATTTATAATTGACTATATGAACATTTTCAAGATTGGCTAAAGAAGCACCCCCACTACAAAGGTCCTCTGAGACCTGATTCATGGCTGGGGTCATGTCAGTGATGTCTCCTGTGTCTGAAGGTATGATTTTTTCTGGTTCAGATTTCATTAATTAAAAATTTCTCTAGCAACTCCCATTTATGTTTTGAGACACAGTCATATCAGTCACTTTTTGTCAACACCTCCTAGACATCTTTGGCATGCTAGAATATCTGGACACAGACCTTGGCCCTGTTATGGGCACTTTTGTCAATTCATTTGACTGCTGGATTGGGGCATTCATGACAGACCCCAACATTTTCCAGTGCCTTTTTGAAATATGCATGCCTGTCTGGATGGTCTGGACACCTGATCATGTACCCCCAGACATGCAAGTGTTGAAGACCATTGAGATTACATGCCCTCATGACATAGTCACAGATCCTGAGGTTTTTGAGGTTGGGCAGATGCTGAAATGGCACAGCACCTGGCACCACCCTGGTGAATCATGCCACAGGGACACTCGACAAGGCCCAGAAATTGGGCTTGAGCAATTTGCAGCTCCCTGGCTGGAACCACCATGCACCAGCAGTGGTGTGGCCTCAACTCCCACAAGCATGGGTCCCACAGCTTCCAATGCTGCAAGTTCCAGCAGTGCAAGTTCAAGTACAGGAGCTGTTAGGGTGGGCAGGGCTTGACAATGTAATCAGCCATGTATGTATCCTATTCATTTTGTCTCAGTGTGTTTAACATTTTGCTCAGATCCCCCTGCAGGCTCGAGAGGAGCCAAGCCATCAGTCATTCTGAATCCCAAACTATGGGAAGACCTCTGCGATCTAGCTATTCCCCCTGCTATGACCACATGGCATGCTGCCCTGAAGGATGTGAATAAGGATGCAAAAAGGGTTGGTCCCAATGTACCCAAGGTAGCTTACTTCTTTCCCAGCCCAAGTCTGTTTATGAGGGGTGAGTCCTCCAATTGCCAGCAGTTGTACCTGAGGAATTGGTTAGCGTCTCAAGCAGGTTGGATCACTAGTCTTTCTGCCTCAGATGTGTCTCCTGTTATCCCTTGGTCCTGGTGGGATTTCCTGAACACAACTCCCACACAGATTTCATCCACATTTTCTGGTGACCAACTATGTGAATCTGCTGCCCTCTTCAGTCCCAAGCTCATCAACCTCCAACATGACATACCTAGCCATGTACAATTCCAGGATATTTCAATTTCCCTTGCAGACCTTGCTACCATTGATCAGATGACAAAAAGCAAGATTTTATGGGATTTATATGAACACAACTTCTGCTTCAAGTTGGTCGCTCTTGACCATGCAATGATGCCTAGCTTGTTGTCGAATCAGGATTCAGAGCAGCTTGATCATGTCCAGCAGGTACATACAATTTTACCTCACCAGGAATGCACTGTGTCTGAACTCTATGCAGATTTTCCCTGGTGATTCAGAATTCATCATGTGTGCTGAGCCTTTCCCTCAGCAAAATCAAGGCCTTGGCTCATCCAACTTTCAATTGAAACAGGAGTACATAGAGAAGCTCTGGGCATTACTTGCTGTATGGCCAGGATGCCCCTCAGACTTGGCAGAGCCAATTATGCCATTAGCATCATTGTTGCATGTCTGGGCAATGGAAAAGAAGTTGGCTATATTTTATGTACAGCCATTCTTTGATACTTTTGGTTGTCTGCCCCTTCTTCCCCACCTTATTCCAACTGCACCACATGGTTATGGTTCAAATAGTTGGTAACCTCCTTCATCATTCCCCAATACCATTTTTACTCTGTACATTTCCTGAATGATATTCATAGCATGCTGCAATTGCAACCTCATTTTGTTCATTGCACACTTGCTCTGTCTCCTTCCCCATTGCCCTCACTAGTCATGTGCAAAGGTCAGTTTGCTTTTCTACACTGGAGGCTAACTATCAGAGATGTGCTGGTGGCATCTTGGGGTTTCCTTCCAGCAACCAGGATTCAGTGTCTTGGTCACAGTGCTGCAACTTGGTGTTGCAGGATCATCATCTACCACTAACTCACCTAGACAGTTTATGCATCTGACTGAATTTCATAGATGTCGTTTCATTGACTGAAACAGCTTACTAGGCATGGTCCCTCTGTACGAGTTACTGCCCCAATGAACCAGATTCCTCACTTGCTCTGTGTGGATGATCTTGCAGTCCTTGTTGACCATCAGACTGCTGAACCTTCTCACCATGTTCCTGGAACTGTGGGGCTTTACCTTCCTGTTGAGCACTTGCTCACCTTACCTGGCCATTGCACTTTCACACAACACCCCAGTGATTCCTCTGGCCCATGCATCCAACACTGCTCTGCTTCAAGTGCTGCTCACCCTTTAGAGCCTTCTGTGGGTAGTGAATGTGACCTCTCCCATGATGCTGCTTTCAACTGCTTAACTGATGGGCTACATATTAGCCAAGACCTGCTCTTGTCACTGTCTAGGAATGGCCAAAAAAAATGAAGCAGTGGCAGTGGTGGTCACACACTGTCATCCCTTACCTCCTTCAGCCATAACTTGCATATTGATGACTATCCAACCACTTCCAGAATCCTGTTGACTATGAACTGCTGACATGTGGTTGTCACCAGACTCGAAAACTGAGAGTCATTTGCATTGATTTCAATGGTGAGATTTCTGTGTTCTTTGTCATTTTCCTCTGCATAGATGCATTCATAGCAGCTCTGCAATCAGTTGATCTGGCTGTCTGTCCTTGTGCACCTGCAGCCCTCCAACTCCTTTGGATGGGCTACTTCCCCTGTGCCCCACTGGGGCCAACACTTGCTGTTAGCCTACAGCTTCTTGGCTTTGTCCAACAACTCTTCATGTGCATACCTCCAATCACTTCAGCATGGTGTGAGTCCCTTGAGGCATACCTTGCAGCTATGGGTTATAAGGTGGACACAAAGGTATGGAATTGTCATGTTTTGTATCATTACCCCATTTTTTCCACTTCATAAAACATACATTACTGCCATGGTGACTGTAGTACAAGATGACTCTGCTATGTAGGTAGTATATCTTAATCTGATGCATGACTATTTCATGGTTATAAGTGCATGCATGTGTGACATGTTCTGTTTCTTGGGACTGCTGTAGTGTTAGATTGATAGGGTAGGATGTTTGTTGGTATTGTTTGTGGTGATGTTGCTATATTATTAATGCATACTTTGGTTGTTCTTCTCAGTCATGGATCATTGCTGATGATACTTGCAGGAGGGTATACACCAGAGGTTCAGTAATGCATATCACTGGTATTGTATTCTGGAAACATCCCTTGATGAATATGTCCAACAACAACTGCAAGAATCTGCTAGTCCACCATCAAACATCCCCTCTGCAATCCCATTGCCAAGTTCCCCAGACAATGAGGTCCTCAGTTCAAATATGAGGCCATCAGAATACCTACAACAGCATTGTCCTATATGCTTTGGTGGCCAGAGCTGGTAAAGCAATAATAGTGAACATGGGTATGTCACTTGGTGGATATAGTTTTGTCAACTGCTAAAATTTCCTTTGTTCTAGTTTTCTGATGTTGATGCAATTGTTTGCATTGATGCTTGTTTTACTCAGAAGTGCAGAGGTGGGCATCCAGATGATCCAGTAAACCCTACAGCTACAGTCTTTCTTCTGATGGCAGTATAGGCAAGTACCCAGTTCTTTTCAGATACTGGTGTCATGGCCCTACTCTGTCATCATGATCATGTCATTTACCTTGCAAATATGACTTCAGCTGGGGAGAGGCAACATTATGCACTTGCCCTCATCAAATCTCTTTTTGGCCATCTCCCAGATAATTTTTGTATTGGGCTGTTATATGACATAGGTTGTCAACTGGAACAGAGCTGCAGGAAGTGGGGTTTTCTCAAGTCATTTCTGCCATGTATTTTTTTTTCCATCTCAGTATTTCATGCCTTTGGTCATCAATGGGCATGTCAGCTTATCTATCACCCCTGAAAATGTGAAGGATTTGGGCTATCTGATGGAGAGGGATGTGAGCATTTTTGGAGTTCAATCAAAGGGCTGATACCATCTCTTTGTGTTCCTGGGGTATGTGTGCAGTATGCCACATCAGTTTCAAGCTAACATATTATTCAGTATCATCAATGCCTCTTTGTTATTGACTTCCAGGTGTGCCACCTGGACATGAAGAATCTCACTGGTTTGGGCCAGTGGCTTTTGCATCACTGGAATCATTTCCAAGAAAAGAAGGCTGCTGAAAACAGAGGCCTAAGGAGATGTGGAGTTGATATCCCAACTCTTCAAGCTGAATGGGTTGCTCAAGTCTCTGCACAGACAAAGCCAGCTCCTTGTAAGCTGCTGATATAAATAATGACTCCTGCTCACCATCAAATTAGGTCACAGCTCTAAAGCTGCTGAGAATATGATATTGCAAATCATGGCAACTCAGAAATCATTGGCAAATTATGAGGCCAAGCTAGAAGTGCTGGAGCAAGATCTTCTCCATGGGGTTTCTGACATGACAAGCTTGAATATCCAAATTGCAGAGTGTCATCAAAAGGTTAAGTGTTTTAAAGAAGCTTTGCAGAACCAGAGGGAAACCCTAGGCATAAATGGGCATTCAAATCTTGCTAGTATCCAAAAGAGTGCTTATCTTCAAGTTAGTGGAGATGTATTTTCTACATGGTTTCATCTAATTGAGACCATGTTCCATAGCTTCACATGCATGCATTAGCAATCAAGAAACATATCAGAGATTGTCTGTGCCAATGAAAGTTTGAGTTGGAAAGACTGGAATGCTCATATCAGCAGACTCTCAGTGGTAAGAGGTCATCATTCATGAATACCCTTGTATTTGACTTGCCTTGAAGAACAATGACTTCAAAACCACACAGAAGCATCTGTGAAGTGATGAGAACCAGGAATAGCCAAGCTTGCCAGTAGCTACAATAATCTGTGTCTGCAAATTGTAGGCCTCATACACAAGGGAAAAGCTCCTCAGGGGTCAATAGCCCCACTCCTGATCCCAAGGGACTCTATGTTCAAACTGGATGTGGATGATGAGATTTGGCAGGATATTGGCCTTGGGGATGATTCAGATAGGTTACTACCCCCATGGTTAGCTGATGAAAAAGTGCACTCAGGGATCAGATCACTCCTTGAGCTGAGGTGTTGTGAAGAAGAGGAAAGGTGCCTGTTGCAGGAAAGAAGAGCTTTGACAGAGTGGTTTTCTGAAGAGTGGGGTCATGTGCAGAAAACCAGACAGAATGCTGGTAAGAGACATGTGTCATTGCATTACCATGACTAACACACATTGCAGATGTTGATCTTGCATATGAACTTGACTGCAGAGCATTGAGACTAGCAGGTCTATGCATCTTGTGGAAGAGGCAACTTAGAGGCTATCCTGGAACACCTAACGAGAACTGGGGTGCAAGTGATGAAGAACTGCACAGCATGGTGCAGGGTGGCCATGTTATATATATTGATGGTGATAATGAGCAGAGGGTTGATGGATTGGAGTCAGAGGGTGAAGAGGATGAGGATGAAGTGATGGATGATGAGTTGCTATGTGTTGCTGAAGAATTTGCCCTGGCAGATGAATATCACCAACAAAGTGATATGCCATTGGAAGAATTCTGTTGGGGAGAAGGATGGGAGAATGACCTACTGGATATGGATCCACCATCATCTCCAAGTAAAAGAGTTCAATACAGATAAGGGTGATAAAGACATATTATAATCTATTTGGTGTGTTTAAATAGAATTTTTTTTGAGCATCATGTTTGCAAGACATATGCATGGGTAAAATGTAGAATATCCCACTGGTTGGCAGAGGGGTAGGTGAGATATCCCAATGTAGCCTTAGAGGCTGTTGTGGGACATCCCACTGCTTGACAGAGGGGGGGTGGGATGTCCCAATGTAGCCTTAGAGGCTGCTGTTGGACATCCCACTGATTTCCAGAAGGGGGGAGGGATGTCCCAATGTAGCCTTAGAGGCTGCTGTGGGGCATCCCACTGCTTTCCAGAAGGGGGGTGGGATGTCCCAATGTAGCCTTAGAGGGTATTGTGGGACATCCGACTGGGTGACAAAGGGGAGGGTGGGATGCCCCACACCAGCCTCAGAAGGGGGACAGTGGGATGTCCAAACTTAGCCTAAGAGGCTGTTGTGGGATATCCCACTGGCTGCTGGAGAGTGGGGTGGGATGTCCCAATATATCCCAAGAGGGTGTTCTGGGACATAGCCTCAGCTAGTGTTGCTGTGGCTCAGCTCCAAAGGCTGACCTGCTCAACAACAAGCAGCTTAGTCACTATGACAACTATTACCAAATGTAGCCTTGTGTTGCCACATACCAAATCCACAATAATTATTTCAATACTCAATAATATAGATGTGGTATGGCCCTTGGCTTAGGACCACTCCCTGAGCCACAGCAACACTACCCCCAGCTGCCAGAGGGGGAAGTGGGATGTCCCAATGTAGCCTTGTGATGCAAATGTGACCAGAGCTGGGATTGAAGCAACCTCTTAGGTGATAACCAGTGCTCTAACAGTTGAGCAAATATATATTGTCCAGGTACTAATATCAGCAGCATGGGGGTAAACCAGTGACATGGGAACAAGACTATGTGAAGAGCAATGCACCATTCCCCACTTGCTCAGAGGCTGCTGTGGGACATCCCACTGGTTGCCAGAGGGGGGGAGGGATGTCCCAAAGAGCAGGCAATGGCCCTCCAGAATAAGCTGCAGCAAATGTTCCAAACCAAGGTGTGGCATGGCAGACACTGTAGAGCAAATTGCAAAGCAAACTGTGGCACATGTGCCAGAGCATACCATAGCATTTCAGAGCACTCAGGAGCATGCAATGGCCCTCCAGGGTAAGCTTTTGGCATGTTCTGAAGCAAACTGTGGCATGCCAGCCACTCTGGAGCAAATATTACCAGCATACCCTGCACACTTACCCCTTGCAGATACTACCAGAAGCACTGTGTATTCAGAAGCAGTAGCAGCTGGCAGATATGGCATTCTGCATTATGGCACATTGCAGCATGCATGAATTATGGCACATTGCAGCATGCATGAGAAATCATTTACCCAGGGACAAATGGTGACACATGGTGGAACACAGAGCAACTACTGAAACAGGTCAAGCATGCAATTCAGATCTTTGAGGCTGCACACCTGCACTGCATTGCTTTGTATATTTTTTGACCAGTCATCTGCTCATGCTTTGCTGCCACCAAATGCCTTGAAGGCCTTCAAAATGAACAAGTCTAATGGGGGAAAACAATGGAAGCAATGTGATACAGTAATTCCAGATACCAATCCCACTGTTAAACTCTGTGGAAAGCCTCAAAAAATGTGCTTGCCAAATGGACAGCCCAAAGGTCTCCAGCAAGTTCTTGAAGCACATGGCTTTAATGTTTGGAAACTGTGAGTAAAGTGCAGTCCCATTTGTCCATGGGAGAATGAAGACTGTTGCATGGCTCACCTCCTAAGCAAGCAGGATGACTTCACTGATCAGCCATCAATGCTTGAGGCTCTCACCAAGGATGCAGGTCATGAGTGTATCTTTCTTCCAAAATCTCATTGTGAATTAAATCCTATTGAAATGGCAAGTATATTCTATAAGTTTGTGTTTCTATTACTATTACTAAACATGCAATATAGTACTGGGGTTGGTGCAAGTACCATTATTGTGAAATAAAGAAGAGTACATTTGAGGAAGCAAAGTGATGTGCAGTGCAGCAACTGGATGCATGTCCAATGGAAGTTATCCACAGGTTTATCAATCACTCTTGGTGGTTCATGTCTGCATATAGGATGGGACATACTGGGAAGGCTGCAGAGTGGGCTGTGAAGAAGCAGAAGGGGCATCATCAAGTGTCACACAGTGCTATGATGTCCATTGAGGCTGTTCTTGATGTGGCATCATAGGTAACTTTCATGTTTTGTCCAGTCAAAAATTTGGTGGTCCCAAAAAGGCATGGGAACAACTTAGAAACACTGCCTTTCGATGTATTCTGGCTCATAGATTCTAAATCTGAAGTCAGTTTTCTCTAAAAATGTTGTGGCACAGCTGTAGCAAAATTGTTGTGTTTGTTTGTCTGCAACTGTAGATGAGTGCTGTTCAGGTGTGGGAAGCAGTCATGTGACTGCAGCCCTTGTGTGGCACTTGTGCTTGGAGCTTGGCTGTGTGCATGCAAACATGCACTCACAAAAAAATTGGCATGGGCTACCACAATATTTCCTGACTCATCATGGTGCACCAATTGACCATCTTCCACATTAATAAATCCAGACACATGGATAATGTGCCCTCTTCCTTTTCACTGCAAGATTTGTTGACCAGGTAATAAACTGAAGCATTTGAGTACAAGGTCTATCATGGCTGTTGCCACTCACTATGCATGTGTCCTATAATCATTTCCATGGAAGCAACATTCATCATGAATGATTGCAATGACCTTCTGTTTGCCAGGTGCAAGCTGCGGATCAACATGAAGCAATCCTGATCCTTCAAAGTGTACCATGTGGCACTCAAATGCAGCCATTGCAGGTAAAAAACTTCCTGCCTATACTTCTTGACATCATCACACTCATGCCATCCATGTAGACACCCTTTTGAAGTCTTGTCTGCTGCCAGCCCAATTTTAGCAGCCAGTGCTATGTCATCTGTTCACAGAGTGGTCTCACAAGCACAATGCCAAGTGAGGGAATAATCATTTCATTAAGTGTGTGCTGAAATTGCTGTGGAGTGACTTGGCCAACTTCTTGCAACATAAGCCATTGGCAGGCAGCCAGCTGAAGTTGTTCATCTTTAAGGGGGTTCAGATCATTTGCTCATCCTCCACACTTTTCCACAGGAATCTGTTTGAACACTTGGTAATGACAAGCAAGTGCCCTGACTTTTTGTGCAAAATGTTTGCCCTTACCTTCATGCCACTGACAAGCAATTTCCAGACTGGCCTCATTGCATCCAAGACCTTTCAAGTGGAGGGTAGCAAAGCTTTGAATCAGCATAAGCTGATTTACATGAGACAATGGTAGGTTTGTTTTTGTGCCTTTCACAAGATCATCCTTGACTTGCTCCCACAGTTCATCCCATCCCCTAATCTCAACACCATCCCATTCCTGCTCTTCAAGTACATCCTCCCAGGCATCCTCAGCATCCTCTACAAGTCAACCTGCATTCAATGACATCAATACATCATCTGAGTGGCTTCCCAAAGAGTCCCAAGTGTTGGTACATGAGATGGTAATGGAAGGGGGCTCTCAAGTTCTTCAGCTGATGAAGGAGAGGGTGAAAAGATCAATGGTTCCATTGCTTCATCATTAACCATGGCAGGTGCAGCTGAGAAGACAGGGAGTGTGTTTGAAGCTTGGGAGGGCAGCAGAACTTGACTTTGCTGGCTTGAGAAAGTAAATCCAAGGTTGGAAAGTGATTTGTGGTCTGCCAAAAGCTTTTTGTACTGCTGTTTCATACATTCTGACTTGCTTCCCACATCAGGTCCCTTTTTGTACTCTTTGGGGCAACCAACTGACTTCTGGGTTGGAAGTACTTGAAGACAAGGACCATGCTCATTTACTCTGATGGAGGCACTCTCCTTTGTCAGGTTTGGATGTGTTGGGTGATGACACATAACCTGCCACATCAGTACTAACAGAATTCCAATTGTGCAGACCAGTTGTATTCCAGGTGATAACATGTTTTCAAGGGCAGCTGCAAGACATTCTTGTTTGAAGGCAACTGAAAACTTGGCTTGAATCTCAAAATTTCCACTTGCCACAGGTGAGCCATCTCACATTCATACAGCAGCAACATCTTGTACTAACCAAATACTCTTTGTTCTGCATTTTTCAGATTTGTTGTGAATCTTTAGGGGGTCTGCCAAATTTTGGGGGGTCAAGATTTCCAAAACTCAGTATTACAAAATTCTACTCATGCAGATTGTTTCTATGTATCATAAGTATGCCTATTATATAGTTTTTGGACTTTCAGAACATTGTGTTGAGTGTGGATAATTTGATGACTGAAATTGTCATGTTTGTTTGTCCACAACTGTAGCAAATTTGGGCAGGTCTCTCCACAGAATACCCATGTATTTTGTGGTGGCCTGCATAGAGTGGCTTTCAGTAGTATTGGATTGAGTATGGATGAACAGGCAATGGTTATGCACAGCCCACAAGTTGCCCGACCCTCACTTTCTCGCACATGTGCCTTCCATTTAGTCAGCGCATTTGCAGTGGCTGTGAGAACAGCCACCTGCAAATTTTTTGGTAGATGACTTGACAGTGATGAACATCACATGACTCCTGCCACTCAGTCCCAGTGAGAAACCACCATATGCCAGACTAGGTAGTAATCTGTAAATATAGGCAAATAGGAACAAGTAGATTTGCATTGTAAATGTACACTATCATAGTATTATTCACTATTCGTGCATATGCTGATCCATATGTACCTATTAGCATAGTCAACCATATATCTACCTAGCTATCCCTGTGTCCATGACTCCACTATGCATTTATATGCAACAATAGCTCAGGCAATTTGGCTCGAAATCACTATGCCATTATATGCATAGCTAGTGCAAATACAAAACCCACCCACCCGCTCCCTGGTCACTTGACCAGTATGCAGACATATGAGTACATAGTCATTGAAACCCACCCACCCCATCCCCATCCTACTGCTCGCCCTACCACTCGCCCTACTGCTTGCCCTACTGCCTGCCCTACTGCTTGCCCTACTGCTCACCCTACCACTCCTACCACTCTTGCACATACCACTCTCACCCCATCCCAAATCCCATCTACCACTAGTACACGGTACCGCCAGAACACTTCGCAATCGTCTCTGCGGTGCTATTTGTCCAAACACCAGTGCCAACACAAAGTGGTGTGTTGACAGCATGTGATTGTGGTATCGGGAGCGAATTCGACATACGAGTTTCCTGTATTCCTCTTTGTATTTCTAGGTTAAGGCATATTAGTATTGACCAAATGATGAGAGTGACCGATTACTTACCTCCTTTGTCTCTGTAGGAAGTTGATTGTAATATGTATTGAGTTCCTCCTGTGTGCCATTTGGAGAAACCATCTTGAGCCACTGGTGGGCACACAGTGTCCTCATATCAATATTAGTATAACCCATCCCTCTCATGAAATACGACGTACCATGCACTTTTGTTTGACCCAGGGTGCCAAGCCTTCTTCTTGCTTGGTCCGAGTGTCTCGGAAGCTGTTGATGTCAGGTCACTGGTAACTGTGGATGAAGGCTGTGAAGGGGGCGGAACAGTTATGGTGTTAGTGACATTGGCAGCGCCACTGGCCTCTGCAGGGGAAGTCTGTGGAGGGGGGCAAACCGATTCACTCATTGGAGTGACTGTTGGAGTGATAGATACAGACGAGCCAGCACTCATTGGAGTGACCGCTGGAGCGACCATTTGAGATACAGACGAGCCAACATGCTCAGCTGGGGAAGTCTGCAGGGGAAATTGAACAGGCACCATGTTGGGGATGTTGGCAGTAGCTGGCGCTGACAGTGGGAGGCCCAAGTGGTGCAATGGCACAGACAACCCAAGCCAAAGATACCAGTACATCCTGTATGCAAGTGAAGTCTATATTACAGAATGTTTTTCACCTTAATCTTAGGCAAAGGGCGAGCTTCTCGGGCTGTCAATGCGAGTTAGAATGGATGCCTGTATCATCATTACCTTTCGGCTCGAAAAAGCCACTATGGTTTGACTTGGGGTTCGAAGTACTGGTAGATGCCTCAGAAAAATCCGAAGAAACATCAGCCAACGGTGACACAGATAAAGGACTGATTTCTGCATCAAAGGAAATGTCTTCAGGTAAACCTGCATCAACTTTGGTATGCTTGTTGTTGACATCAGTTGTCTCCAACTTCGCATCTGCTTTGTGCTTGCTGGGAATAGACTTCTTGTCCTTATTCGTGAACCAAGTCTGTTTGTACGACGCATAGTACTGCTTGGCTAGGTTATCAGCTTTCCACAAGTCTTCGCAAAGGGCAAGCTCGTTGTGTGCACCAGCAATTTCAGTACGAAATATCTTCTTGATGGATAATGGCATTGATGTCCACATCGTGTTGGCGTCAATCTGGCCTTGGCAGCAGAGGTCATGCCAGATCTCACGCATTGTTGAGAGAATTTTGCTGATGCACTTCTCAGGTAGCTGCTTGCCATCCTCATCTTCTAGGTATGCTGTCTGTGATTTAGACATTATGGCTTGTCCCTCCGCGGTGGCCTTCCAGTCCTTGTACTCCTTTTCTGTCCAAAACCATACCTTCTTGTATGCTGATCTATCATGATGGGGCAGTGGAGCTGAAGGAAGAAATAGATTTGGCAGAAGCAGAATGCCCTGCATGCCAACATTAAGGAATGTGTTAGGGCCTTCCTTGGTGCTTGAAATTGGACGGAGCTGAGAGACAAGTGCAGTATATGCACCCCTGTTCGAACACAACATCGTCAATCAAATAATAAATCAGGTCGATGCAGCTACTCGATTGCAGTCTTCCCAGCTGCAAGTGCTGCATTTTCGCTTTGGAGTTTGTTGATAGTCTCTTTAAGAACTTGAATCTAGGCGATATGCTAGCTGTATGTGTGAAATTGGCCAGTGTAACATAGACGCACCGTATTATTATCTTGAAGTGTGTTAACCTGTGGCCCAAGCTATGTTCATCAAGATCAGATGTTAGCTATATTAGAACATGACAGATATGCCATGTATCTGTGCTTGAGAGTGCAGCCAATGCTGGGTGCTGTTGAAACCATGGAAGATGCTATCACCCGAGGTCCTAAACGAGTCACAGGACAAGCTGTTCTGAAGGTTATTCGAGATATTAGTCTGCCTGTCAAGAAACAGAGGGTATGGGGATGCTTGTCCATCAGAGGAAGGGAGCGACATGGTGGCAGGAGGAAACAGCAGGAGGAAACAGGAGGGTGTCCCGATATGGTCTTTAGAGCCAGACTTGCCTCACACCAAATATGCTTTAACTAATGCATCTTAACCATAACCATGTCCTCTGATGATATCGACACCGCTCTAGTGACCATTCCAGTCAGAACTACCATTGTCAACAATACAGCCATTCTCGACATCCATGCTCTCTCTTCTGACTGGAACATGTATCTTGTTATGCTCACTCCAGAGAATCCAGGACCTATTGTACGTGCATATACCCACTATATGTCAAATCTATCTAACATACCATTTCAGAAACTTGTGCTTCATCTACAAAACCGTTCAGAAGGCCCCAAGAGCCAACCCTGCACACAGGCCGATGTAAAGATATTCAATCCGCCTAAAGTGTGAGTGCATGCACGTTGTCTATGTTTTCTCACTAATAGATCTAGCTATCATCTGCTTGCAGAACCAGTTCTGTGTCTCATAGACCCTGGCTCATCGGAGAACCCAAAGCCGATGATTCTAATGGACAGGCTTGCGGCAACCTCATGCATTAGAGACGCCTCACGCGTGTGGAAGCTCTCGCAAGTCAGCACAGATGAGAATACAACCCAACAGAACATCAAGCGGCGCCATGCAGACATGTAGATTTGTATCGCTTTATTGCATCATCCCCTCATGTTTGTATTACTAGTACCGTCATACAGAGGTTGTGTCCTGTAGTCATACCAGATAATAGAATGTACTCATTGCTGGTTGTGGTCGCAATCTTGGTCCCACTGTGTGCATGGAAACAACCAAATTGTACTCATATTCGCATGATAGTCTATGAAAAGTCTAAGAAAAACAAGCATTTGTATGAAGAGTATTATGCATCCTCATCATCATCATTCTCAGTCCCAACATGCGCAAGCTCCAACCCCATTTTCTCGACCAAAAAATACCTATCCTCCATGGTGCCTAGCAGATTGATCTTGTGAGGAACCATGCTGACAACGGAATGAATGGCAGTTACTTCAATAACATGTAGACTCACATCACCTAGGTTTGTGCTTGACACAACAACTCCGTATGATTCCTCGAGTAAACGTGGGTGTGGCTGGGAGTATAATGTGACCAGAGTGACGTTCACGAAGTGATACTGCGGAGGGGCAGAGTCTCCATACAGGTCATCACCACTGTCATCCTCAATGGCCACTTGCAAAGTATCAAACCTCTGCAATGCGGTCCTCTCCTCCAATGATAGCCTACATGTTCTTGTCAGTATATACAATGAAATATACAGTTGACTCCTTACCATAACATTACAAGCCATGTGCAATTCTTCAAGTGGTTTCTGTGATTCAACAAACTCAGAATGTGCAATTTGACCATTTGGAAGTCGTAAACGTCCCCAGCGGCGAACACTGGGCAGTTCTACTTGCCCCAGATACTCCAAGATTACCTGTGCTTCGTGGCCATGCACCACGATTGCATGTTTATCATGTTTCGGCAAGAGGAGATAGCCATTACCCAAGTCTTCAGATGCACATGGGTTGGCATCTTCACTTGTGGGATCTAGGTTAGGAAGCATTGCCATGAGAGCGTTGATCTGGCACCGATGAATGCCTTGCTGTGCAAGGTTAGAGAATGGGTCGGACGGCTGCTGTATCTCCTGGCCAAGGTTGCCAATAGTGTGCTCCATCGTCCACTGGGAAGAGCAAATGGGCAACCCAACACATACGGCCTCAGAGGCCAGGTGGTTTGATAGGTGGATGCATGGGTATATGAAGTGAATCCGATCAATGTGATGTTGGTAGTGTATCTGCTCGAATTCATATTCCCATTCGGCTAGATAGTTCCGAGCGAGTTTGAGTTGTGCTGGAGTGATACTGTATTGACCCATGATGTGGAAGCCTGCAACAAACTTACAGAAGTTGTGCCAGATATCCTGGGGTAAAACCTGAAATAAAAGTGCTGGACAGAGAGAATAAATCCAAGTGATGTACTCAGTGGCTTTGTACCAGGAGTTTGCATGAAGGCTGGGATCGCAAGGGGTGACATCGAATGAACCTGGGAGGTAGGGCTTGCAAGCACTGACTGCGTGCCCATGTTCTTCCCACCTGCGCTGATCCTTTAGAACAGCCCAACACCATGTCATCTTGTTATCAGTTGGTGCAAATTCAATGGTACCTCTCCACAAGTCAAGCCATAGTGCAGCCATGTTTGCACCACTGAAGTGCATCATTTCTGATGAGAAACATTCAGGGATACTGAGGACGAGGTGTAGCTGCAGGCCAAGAAGGATGCTGGGGCCAACAATCCCAGTCTCGAGGCATCGTCCTTTGTATTCTTTCTGATTCCGAGAGTGAAGGATGGTGCACAGTTGTACAATGTAGTGCGCAGAGGTGCTTGGTCCGACATTATAGATGTTGACATCACCATGGTTACAACCAGTGATGTCATAGTTGTTGGGTTTGAGTAGAACAGGGTAGTACTGAGAAGCACCGGGCTTCCGACGATCTTTGAGAGGACAATGCATGTGACACCCATTTTTACCTTGGTGTCCAACAAAATTGCTCATCGTGAGCAGACCAGGACCATCAGCACATGCAAGGAATAGGAAGAGACGAGAAGTGAAGTTACGATTGCGAGCAAAATCCCATATCTTGAGACCCTCACATTGCAAGGCAGAGAGGTGATGAAAACCCAGCGACAGGAAGGACTCGATGAACTTTGGTTTTTTGGGGCCAGGGATGATTGCGCCAGGGAGGACATGCTTCTTCTTGTAGTGATGATCAGGTGAGAGGTTGAGAATGATCCGGATATATATCCAACAATCCAATTCCTTGGATTCGAAGAGTTGAGCACTGTCGATGGATATCATAAGAAGGGTGTCGTCAGGAGTGATGGTACTGTCACAGATACCATGGATATATGCACTCCCACAGAAGACATCATCATATGCATTGACGAAGCCATCATTGGCAAGAAGCTCGTCAAACACTTGTTGAGTTTTTTCCTCGCAGTAACGCATCTTGTTAGTGGTGTCAGGGTGTCACCAGAGGGCTTGGGTTGGGGACCGATAGGAATGGTGTGGAAGACAGCATGAGGGTGTTTGACCCCTCTGTTCTGTCAAAGCTGGTCATAGTGTGGCTCATCACATTCAGGACAGGTGTCAAGATGGGCATAGGGACTGACAAATGCAGTGCATGAGTTGATACACATGTGGTTGATGATAGATGTGACTCTGGTTAGTATTGCACAGAGGAACGGGAGAAACAAAGAGCAAAAGGCACAAACACTTGCCTTGTTAAGAACGGTAGTAGATTTGATAAACTGGAGTAAGTTTTTGAGGGGCTCAGTTGTCGAGTAGACAAGTGAAGAACGAATGTAGAATTCAATAGGAATTGAGGAAGAAATCCCTGAGTTTATATACATGAGTAGGTACACACGGACCAGTAGCATAAAAGGAAACTACTACTCAGTATAGTAAAGAATAGCATGGAAGGTCATGGAATATGACATATGATATGATGTCAGTATGACATCATTGTGGAGCTGATTGCTAAGGAATGTCATGTGATAAACAACATGTTGAGACATGTGTAAGTCTGGATGACTCTAGACATCGGAACTATTAGAATATTTCCAACACTCCCCCTCACTCTAAAATGGTAAAGTAACAAGACCCATTGACAAGCGATTAGTCTTGAACTTCTGCCATGTTAACGATTTCGTAAGGCCATCTGCTTTCTGCTTGTCAGTTTGAACGTAGTCAATACTGAACAAACTATCTTGAACACATTTGCAAACGAAGTGCCATTGGATGTCGATATGCTTTGACCGACCGTCTGATACAGGATTCTCAGCAATAAAACGAGCTCCCATGTTATCACAGTAAAGAATTGTCTTTTTGGTCTTGAGTTGTAATTCATCAAATAGCATACAAAACCATTTGATTTGTCTGGCAGCGTCACATAAAGCCATATACTCGGCTTCAGTGGAGGAAAGTGTGATTGTCTTCTGTTTGTGAGAATGCCAAGAGATAAGGGAATTGCCAAGATACATGGCATAACCGGTAGTAGAATGACGTGTGTCTTTATTGGCAGCCCAATCAGAATCTGCAAAGCCATAGATTCGAGATTCAAGTCCCAAATAGTATAAAGCCAGTTTAGGAGTTGATGCGATATAGTGACCTATATGCAAGGCTTTATTTCGATGATCTTCGGTAGGATTTGCCATATATTGAGACATGTGAATAACCGCAAAGGCAATATCAGGATGAGTACCAAGAGCCATATAAAGCAATGACCTGATGATTGACTGGTACTGTGACCAAAGAGAAGATGTGGCTTGATAATCTGATGGTGCTTTTTCCGGTTGATATCCCAAGGGTAATGGAGTGCGAACATTTCAAGCAGTCTCCATATTGAACCTTTTGATAACCTTTTTGATGTAAGGTATCTGGTCGATATAGATTTCTTTCTTCGACCTATCTCAATGAATTTGAATGCCAAGGTATTCCTTGACTTCACCAAGATCTCGGGATTCCCATTTCTTCATAAATTGTTCTTTCTTGGCCTTTAGAAGACGTTTGTCTGATCCTAGAAAGAGTCCATCATCGACATAGATGAGAAAAATGACGATTCCAGCTTTGGATATGTGAATGTAAATTCCAGCATCCACTTTTGATCGCATATAGCCCATTGCAAGTAAAGATTGATGAAGGGCTTTATTCCATGCCAACGCAGCTTGCTTCAAGCCATAAAGAGCTCTAAGCAACCAATAAACCTTGTGTTCTTGACCCGAAACTTTGAAACCTTCTGGTTGCTCCATATAAATTTCTTCATCAAGACTGCCATATAAAAAGGCAGTTTTAACATCCAGGGCTTCAGTATCCCAATTTCTTTGGGCAGCGAAAGCAAGTAGAATTCGAACTGTTTTGAATCAAGCCACTGGAGAGAAGGTATCTTCAAAGTCAGTACCAAATTCTTGTGTAAAGCCTTTAGCCACAAGACGAGCTTTATAACAACCATCACTTTTTATTGTGAAAACCCATCGACACTTTACAGGTTTCCGATTCTTGGGAGGATCCACCAAGGTCCATACTTGTCTTTCTTCAATAGACTTTAATTCATCTTTCATAGCGTTGAACCATTTCTTTTGTAAATCGGGAGACAACCTGAGCACATCTTTATAGTGTTCCGGTGATTCTTTGATCTGGGCAGCCAATGCAAACTCGAAAGGATGCATTTCCAACTGTTGATCTGGCATGCCTTTTGGAGAATTAGGAGTATCCGGAAGAGGAGTAAGTGGAGATCCAGGAGATGTGGGAGTAGTTCCTTGTGGATGTTCTGTCCACTGACGAGGAACTTCAGGAGGAATCATTGCAGGAGGTAACCTCGGAGAAGGAGGTCTACGTTCCTCTGCATATCTCCGAATATCTTCTCTGGAATTGCAAGCATGTTGCTCAGCATTATGAATCCACTGTTGTGCTTGATCCCGATTTCTTTGAATGTCTCGTTCAATTTCTACAGGAGACCTATCTCCATAGATATTTTCTGGATCAGAAACTGGAATAAATCGACATTTTGGATGAGGTTCTCTGTCATCAGCAGGTTGAGCTCTGCAAACATTGTGCGAGTCTCCCTGAACAAATTCAGGTTGATAAGGATGCCTAAGATGACGAGGGTTGACTGGTGGTACAGCAGCAGGTGCTCTTCATGGTTGTTGTTGAGCTCTAGGCTGGTCCACAGCTCTCTGCTGTGGGTTTTGTGGTTGTGGTGGAGTTAATGGACAAGGTGGTTGCCGGTGATGAGTCAGTGGTTGGATCTGATCAGGATCCAGTAATGAATGTAGGCTTTCAGAATCAGAGGAAGTTGATTCATGGTCGTCTTTGGTATTGGGGTCAAAGGTTTTGGATTTTGAATGACCAGAGCAGAAAGGAAAAGAGTCTTCTACGAATTTTGCAGTTCAGGAAAGGATAATCTTTTGTCCATTAAGAAACTGATATCCTTTGGTATTAGCTTCATAGCCTAAGAAAACCATTTCAACTGCATGAGGTTCCAATTTGTCTTTGTGTTGTTCCTTGGGAACCCATACAAAAGCTTTGCAGCCAAAGGTGCGGAAATAAGAGATATCCGGGACTTTTCCTAAGAGTTCTACCGGAGTCTTGAAAGTAATCCTCTTGAGAGGAGTTCTGTTGTACACATGAAGTGCACAATCAAAAGCAAAGTTCCAGAAGCATTTAGGAACGCAAGCATGATGTCGAATGGTCCCAGCCTTCTCGGAAATAGTCTGATTAAAGCATTCAGCATGACCATTCTGCTGCGGCTGGTCAGCTATAGACAATTGATGGGTAATTCCACGCAAAGAAAGGAGCGCCTTGAAAGTGATACCCATAAACTCTCCCCCTCGATCTGAACAGAGTGCAAGTAAATGATGCCCTGTAGTATTCTGCACAGACACCATCCAATTGGCAAAAGCAGTATAGGTGTCAGATTTGTTGCCAAGGTAGAGACAAAAACCATAGGACGAATAATCATCCAAGAGGGTTAAGATATATTTGGACCGAAAATAAGATTCAACAGGCAATTCAAGAAGGTCTGCATGGACCAACTGGAGAGGTTTAACAGCACATTTCCATGATGGTTTAAAAGCTTCAGAGGAAAGTTTGCCTTGCATGCAACCTTTGCAAGAGGTAGTCTCCCCCTGTATTTGTAGTTCTTGTTTAAGGCCTAATCGGCAAATATGTCTGAGAACTGCATTAGCAGGATGACACATGCGATTATGCCAAAGAGACTCTTGTGTATCCTTGACCAAAGGGCAAAGGACCCCAAAGGCAGTGGTAGGTGGAAGCGGTACGCCCACAAACCAGTGAAGAGGTGAAGTCGGTGAAGCTAC